TTATTACATCTATACTAATACTTTAAAGCTGCTGAGTCTGTTCGTTTATTTATTTGTTTACTTCAACACGCTAATCTCAGGAACTACTGGTCCATACTGAAAAAATATTATACCTTGCAACTGTTATCAAAGTGCACTTTTAACGAGTTTGATATTTGTGAAATGGAGCGCGTCCCTAGTTTATTGAGAACAAATAGAGTTAAAAGCTTTTACGCGACATGGATTTTCAAACAAATTTTGAATTCATAAATCACGGGAACTGCTGAACCGGTTTTAATGAAACTTGGTACCCATACGCGATATATTATTAGCAAGGCCAAACACATAATTGGTAACATTTTCGAAAACGTATCAGCAGACCAGTATAGAAAAATCTATGTTTACATAAAAACTTAAATACACGTAGGTAACTATAAAATGCTCATTTTAAGATTTTGCCATAGGTAAATACCTACTTATAGTAACTTTTGACAAAATTATTTTAAATAGAATTTTAAATAAAATTATAAAGGTAGTTTTTATATATTTTATTTTGATAACGAAACTATAACACACCAAAACACAGTTTCATTCATAAAAACCAAAACTAGTTACAAACTTCAAACGTCTCATAGTTTCCGAGGCAAACACGAAAGAGTATATATGTATTAAAAAGTTTGTCATAAATAAATGTAATATTATTTTCAAGTAAAAACTGTGTTTGCTATCTGTAAAGTCAATCGTACTAGCTTCATGCTCGCATCGTTACGTTCATAACACTTGGATACGTTAACAAGATTAGCGCTCGCTCGGGGATGTTGCGAACTCATTTAATAGTTGCAGCTTTTCTTACACAATTTTTATTGTAAGGACACACTTTTACAACTAATCTTTAGTTACTTAGTTTATATTACATATACGAGTATTTTTCTGTGGGTTAAAATGTAATTTAACGGACTTGATTGACATGTTGTGATTGTGTATTGACAATGGAATCTTTTACGTACCGAATTATTTTCAAAAAATAAAACTTACATGAAACTGAAATTTGACGTACATACATTAGTGTGTAGGACTGTCAGATGTAAACAAGTCTAGGTATTTTTTTTCACATAATGTACTGCATATACTAATTAATAGTAAAGTTAGGTATGATATACATATCGTATTGTAGCTATGTTATTTATTATGTTTAAATACAACCGCTATTGCCAATATTATGTTTAAAAGCAGAGCACCGGATGATAAAAATATAAGCCTCTATACCAAAAATGTCTTAATAACCGAATTTAGTTCTTATTAACATTATTTCGTAAAGTAAATTTTTATTACGTAACAATACCCAGGAAACGTTACACTAAAAATATTGACCTGAGTTTATAAAGCTAATTGACGTTGAATTCATGCGGATGCATACCTAACATATTCAGACATCGTCTCATCAATTTGGAACAGCCACATAATTCGTATCATTGCTGTTTAAACTTATTTATTCACAGGAACAGATTGGCTTTGTTTTACATTTGACAACTGAGTCGGCAAATGATTACGGAATTCGCAGTAAATCGTATATACGTACATTAGCACAGATATGCAAAGGATGTTTATTATAATACTTTGTGCAGGTGTCATGTTAGGCTCTTTTTATATGCAAACGGTAGAGAGCCTACAACACGAGAAGGAACGAGGGGTTTTTTAGTTAGTTAGAGACTACACATTTGATAAGAGTGTCTAGTACGCATATTCTTCACGTTCACGAAATCGTAACGTTATCGCGTTTAAGCCTTCTGATTGGTTGATTAACTCAAAGCAGGCCAATCCGAGCGCCGAACGTCATAAACGTGTTGATCGCATTAACGTAAAGCAAACTCGTGCCGTGCAAACTCTTCCACATGTATACGGTTTACGCTCGGCCGGCCGGCGGTGGCGGCGAGGGGTGATCGCAGTATTATTGAGGTGTCCACTAGAGAAGTCGCGCCGTTTTGCAGCCGGGCATGTAAACGAGTCTATACAAGTCAATGCTTATAGCACGGGTGACACACGGTCGCCGTACCGTAACCGTGCCTTATGAAAGCTTTCTGTGGAGCTTCACATTTCTACTATCCACGGCATGGCGACAGAGCCGTGACCGTTTGTATGTGAAAAGGTCCTTACAGTATACGATTAACGTGTAATTTGAAACGAAGTATAAGTATAACAATACAAGGAACCAACGTTCTTCGAGACGCCATGCGGAGTTATTATTACAAATCAGTACACCACATGTGTACAAGTAGGAAACCATTATACTAATATACCTACAATTTATTAATTTTAACAGTAAATTTGTTTATTGATAATGTCCATTTATCATGTTGTTACATATTATTTGGCGACAGAGTTTTAGAGCAACCGCAACCACGTTTAGCGGATAATTGGATTGAAACCAACCACCCTCCCAATGCCACGGGCAACAACACTGTGAAATATAATAATGTATAAATACGATAACTATTTGTCAATTTCGCACGAACTACTATCAATAAATTGATACCAACATTCATGTAAACGTAGATTCTTTCGGAACTTTTTCCAATTAACAACACCCTAATAAGCAACACTTTCGAAGAAAATATGCCTCAGTTAACAATTTAATAAGCAGAAACTCGGATGCAACAGTGCACACAGCAATACGATAACAAGGGTGGACAGCCAGACAGTCGACGTATTTCCGAGTGTGATCAAATGTATTTCAGAACAAGTTTATTCTGTAACGTTGGAGCGTATAAGTCACTAATGTTTTTAAAGCAAAAACGACTTCACGTTCGTAATTAGCATGGCCAGCAGACGGTTTAGAGATGGAATGCCTTATAGATGTACATTCTTACACCACACTGCTATATTTAAGTAAAGTTTCGAACGATGGTGCGGGCAGTCGATCCAAAGTGCTATGACACCGGACCAAATATGAATACCAGAGCGCTTTAATTCGTTTCTATACAGGTACACTTGAGAACAGATGCCCAAACTTTTGGACTACCTATGCATATTTTGAACGTTTTCCCTTTAGTTCTGCTTGCCCTGCAGTTATTTACTCGCCAAAACTAACTGTATGGCATTAAATTCAGTGTAGTTTCGTGCAAGTTACTTATTTTAGGAGAATGGTATTTCCGTGCAGGTTGCATTTGCATACTTGGATAATGTTGATAAATAGGCCAGTTTTTAAAATGGATTTTATTAATCTTGACGTGATATGTAGTTATTTTGAGTTTTATAAATTAATATCATTCTAAAATTTAGGTAGGTTCGTCCTTCTGCTTTTGCAAAGCCATTTTCAATTATGCGTAAGTATATATGGAGTTAGTTACATCTCATCACGTTTTTACATTTTTGGCATATGAAGAATACATTAGAAATGTCGAATTTTAAATCGTAAATACATATAAATTTTGAATGGTCACTTTCGTTGGACCATATTTGAAGGTGTTCGGCGCACATTATCCATGAAAACCGCGCGAATCTCGAACCAAAGTGACGGTTCGATTCGGTGGTCTATTGGTGGTTTTAGGGTAAATAAAGCAAATAGGGTATCGCGGCGTCGGCTTGAAGTAGTAGAAGGAACGGGGGAGTTTTTAGTCAGTAAGACACAGTCAGGAAGTCATTTTTGATGATGATTTCCTCAAAAAAGGTAATTAAAGCTGTAATCTACGTAAATTTGCCGGGAAAACTTTACTAAAGTAATGTAATAGCAATAAAAATTTTAGAGCAACCGTATGTATTAAAATTAAATTTCGCTTCTTGCAAACGAATAAGATCACATACTACGGTAAAGTTGAGATAGATAGGATAATTCTATTCATACAGTGTACCAACACATTATTTGAAACAAACAACAAGTTGGAGAAGGTCAGGTGGAGTGAAGGATATACATTGTTACTGTTTCTAGCTTGTTTTTGATTAAGTTAAAACTACAACGCTATGTATTTTAATTTTAATTTTTATACGTTAGCGTGTCATTGGTACATAATCTGACGTTAAGCAATCAGCGCTGCCCATGGACATTCGCATCATTATAGTAGTTAGAAGGCGAGGCCTTTTGGGGATTAGGATTTCGTAGATTGGGATTGGGGAGGGGAAGTATTGGGCGTCCGGTAATCTCAGTAATGTAGCAAAACAAAACGCTGTCTGTTGTGATAAATGGTCAATTGCATAATCAAAGATCCAGCATGTGTCACTATCTACAGCCAAACTCCAGATATTCCTTACATTTACAATCACCTGAAGCGTTTAGTAAACGAGCCAAGTCTTGACATTTAAATTGAATAATCCTATAACTCGACGTCTGTAAGACATTCAACCAAAGCAGTGCATTCGTTAAATCCGCCATTAATTATGAGAAAGTTTGGCGGTGCCGTTCATAACGGGAACTTATGTCAAACTAGGTTTGTTACTATTACACTGAATACTATATTAACATCATCCTAACTTAGTCACCCCTAGTTTGGGAAGCTCGGGCTTTTCAATGCAGTCTCTCTCTCTAGATGTGTGGTTACAACTAGTACGTTTTACATCAAAACAAGAGAATAAGCCTGAAATCTAAATTAACCCTACTGTTGATATACATTGAATGGTCGTATTTTTAAACAATCAACTTTAATATCGTTTTAATGCGCGAGCAAACACCCTTGCTTAATCAGATTCACTATCTCCCCTGTTGATGATGCTAAATTCAAATACGCACTCGGCACTCGACCGTGGTGAGTAAACGCGGGTCAGCAGACAAGTAACAGTAGTACAGTTTATATGAAACATCCATTTATAACGTTACCCGTTCCACGTAACGAAATTAACAGCACACGATCAGTCAGGTAGCGCTACACGCAAACATAACCCGTTCTTGGCGCTACACAAAATTAAATTAATACTCGATTTATTGCTATAACGAAACTTATAACTGGTAGAGAATGCTCAATGCATTAAGTCCGCCTTATGTACAAATAAATTGTGCAAGTGAAACTTAATAAATTGTCAGCACCAACATTATTCGTTTCAAGAATTATCTGCAGTTCGATTACTGTGCCTTATCTGGGTTTAGTAAGTCACACCAGTTCTGTACCTACCTCTACGTATCTGATAACAACGGTTGCGATAACGCCCGATACCTAGCTGACTCAGATTGACTTCATTAGCCGGTGAATGCGTTGGTTTATTTGTTGCTTTGCTAAAAGACAAGAAAAATTCATGTTAGTCAAGTGAATAATGTGAGTTGTGTGCGGACTCGCGGGTAGTTGACTAATTCATGGTGGTATTGGTTTCAGTGCGTGAATAACTGAGTGAGATGGTGACGTGAGGCACTAGCATGCGCTGGTCGAAGTGGTGGTGGGTGGTGGTGGCGCTGCACGCGCGCTCCCTCGCGCAGTCCAACACACCGACCGTCTGCGAGGAAGAAGCGTGCCGCTGCGACCCCTTCACTAGAGTCATATGCACTTGCACCCGAGACTATCCCGTGAGTAATTACATCATTTATATTGCTATCCTCCCAACAAATATTGTTAGTTAACGCGAACGCATGTTTGACAAATGATCTAACATTAGAACTGAGTCATATCTTCTTTAGGATTTTATTAACATAATATCGTGATCACCTGTGTATGTTAATAAGCTACAAAACATAATAATATTCCTTTGCATCGATGTCTGCAGCACATCAAGATTTGGTTTTTAAGTATCAAGAAAATACATTTCAATTAAATTGTAATTGTTTTGTTACAGGAGGTGACCTTGCGACCAGACGGAGCTTACCGAGTTCCCTCTACTGCTACTGGCATTATTATAGATAACTGTTCGCGGGTGACCTTCCTGCCCGACACCGTGCGAAGTCTTATACAACTTCGCAATATAGAACTAAGAAATGTGGATCACGTTGTCATTAACGAGCGAGCCCTATCTTGGTCTCCGTTCTCCACGCTGAACGAAATGAACCCAGGACTACGGATTTCGATAACAAATAGTACTGTAGACGAGATCGCGTCCCACGCTATACAGGGACGCGTCAACGATGTCGTCATTAGCAATAGTAGGATTAAGGTGCTAAAGCCCTTCGCGTTCTCCAGCCTTACAGGAGTCAATACTATTGACTTACAAGACAATGTGTTTGAGAACATTGAAATACAGGCTTTTAAGAAATTCACCGTAGACAACTTTATGCTGCGCGGGGGCAGTATAAATACACTACCGAGCAGGTTCCTTTCTGACGTGGAAGTGACCAACCTGTTCCGTATGGAAGGAGTATCTATTAAGTATTTGTATAGTTTAACTTTTCTTGTCAGTTCACCAAAGAGGGTCCTCATAGAGAGTAACACAATAGAAACATTGGAGGGAGATGGATTTCACATAGTTACTAGAGGGCCAATTACATTTAGAAATAATACTGTAACCAATTTGAGGAAGGGCGCATTTTTCGGATTCACCGCGGATTTGGAGGTGGCGTCGGTGATGGGGCCTCAGGAGCTACTAATTGATAACAACACTATTACTAATTTGACACCGGCCTCTTTAATGTACAACCGTACGAGACTGACTTTGAGGGTCGATGGACTTAACCTGAATACATCGTGTGCTTGTGAATTGGCAGAGCAGTGGCGTGAAGTGTTAAAAGAACAAGGTGGAACAATAACGTGCTGGTACGAGCTCGAGGGCTACTACATATCGCTACCAACATATGTGGACAGTAGGTGCGGACCGTTCAAACAAAACTTTTGGATTTTTGTTCTTATAGGTGTCATTTTAGTATTAATTCTAGCGGCCATAGCCATATTCTTTATAGTAAGACGAGAAAACGAAAAGAAGAAGAAAGTGCAGATAGTCATGCCAGATGGGAAGACTTACAGGGAGACCGAGTTCCACATAGTTGTTGAGAGGGCCGAGCTCCTCACTACAGATTTATGAGCGGTTGTGTTGTGAGAACAATTGATCTCTGTCCTAGTGTCCATGGTGACACACAATAGATGACTAGGTAGTTCGATGCATCGCTCCGTGAATTATACGTTCCATCGAAATTCTACCTCAGGGCCTTGATTCTGCTACATTACGCAAACAACTACCTATACTGAGCTTTGAAAAGTTGTGACGACAAGTTGGATGTCACGTGTGTGTTTGTAGCAACATCAGAGCCATTACAAAGTGCCAACATTTAGTTATACACCGACCAGTATTACGCGATGTGGTGTTGCGAAAGAAACTACTTAGCTATTTGTTATGGTAGCGTTAAATTATTGTGATTAATAAAAAGTACAAGGAATTGTGTGTTTCATTGTGGTATGTTTGCTGTGCGAATATTTACTTGGCTAATACTGCGAAAGTATCACTGTGTGTTTGTATTTAATGACGCACTGCATTGCAAACGTGATGAAATGACCTGGTGTTTATAACTGCCTATAAAATTGCGTGCTTACCTATACTGCTACACAGAGCTGTTGCGACCTACTTGTTAGTATAAAACTGGGTGTGCAGGAGCATTCTACTGCGTAGCTACGCTTCCATTTGCAAATGATAAACAATGGCACTGACTTTATCGACTTTTAAAACGTTTCTGAAGTGTTTGCGTCTATTTACCTTTACAAACAATAAAGTCTGTGCAGTACCGATAGTAATGTATGTTAAAATAAGTGGGTCATATACATAAAATGACATAATATACTGTTTTGTATATTGTAATATAAGTAAATATTGTGCTTGCTGATATGCGACCTCATGCATTTAATGATTAACATTAAATACCTGTACCATACTAGCTGTATAGCTATAGTTGAAACATGCACATTGCACGGCTGTGAATGGTCAACTATTCATAAGTACGTAGTGTCTATTTATCCGAACATTATCCACAATATGAAAGCTAATTTAAATTCCACGTTCTATAATTACTCTTAATTTACAGTTTATATTTAAAGGTGTGGTTATTATATTGGCAATATAGTATTACCTGCTAGGCAATAGCCAACTACCTAATGCAACTTGCGCACGTTTTTGACATTTTACGACATGACCTATAGCCATTTGAACTGAGAGGTGTTATTCTATTAGAAGCCCTAATACCTAGAAGTAAGGGGACAAAATAGTTTGATGACTTCGTCGACTGTGTGCAATGCGCTCTTTACTGGTTTCAAACAAAACAATCGCTCAGGAGAAATAAATGTTAAATCATCACGACTACCGCAACAATGAGCACATGTTTGGGAAAACTAATTTTCAAGTGGTTGAATAAATGAACTTTTTAGTTAATATTTTAAAAGATACAACATTCGCTTAGTAGATTTAATACCTTGTTGTGATTAGGTACAGGGTACAAATTCGAATGCAGATGATACTGTTTCATAATCCACAACCGAATTGAGGTGTACCTACATTTTCGTGGTACGAGAAGTTTATAGTACACAGCTTACCATTATTGATATCCTCAAGATACAGTTGACATGTCATACATAATTCATACATATCGCATACTTGCCATAGCAGTAGGCCGTTGAGAATTCCTCGATGTCGCCTTCAGAAGTAGTGTATAAAGTAAACAATGGAGCTATTGAGACTGCACGATGCAAAAATGATTTGAACTACATTTAACACTATGGAAAATTAAATTATCTTCTCGTTGTAGGTACTGTTAGTTTAGATATTTGCACTGACCATTTTGAATTGAATACATTTAGTCGTAGCCTGCTAATATCCCAACCTGTAAATAAAACATTGGACTGCACATAACGTGGCAGTCGTTCGGCGAAGACATCATACCATTCCTCATTCGCCAGGCTCCAAATACCTAGATATCTTGAAGGAAATGTTACGTCACACATTTGAAAACAATGCACCGTACATAAGAAACAAAAACATAGCCATTTCAAAATAATTACAGTTGTTTTAAATTCAATAGTAACATATAGTTTATGTTTACAAACAATTACAAATATGTTACGTACGTACATTCAATTACAATGTACACCGCGCATATAATGTACTGTTCGCCGTTGCAATTATAATTTATTTACTGGACAGCATTCCTGAGAAACTGTCCCGCTAATTGCTAGATAAGACTGGTAATAATAATAAAATATATAAAGTTATATACCGATCTTCAAGAATTGATATCAATGTCAGGCGTTTCAATAAGCTATTTATTATTTTTTCCTAGAAGAATAGTGTAATTCAGTTAATGGCTATAAGAATTATGAGTGTTTTGTTTCTCATGTTCGGTGTTGTTTAAAACAATAGACTTACCGCAACAGCGGTTGGCCATCGAGTACTTGATGTATGGTAGGAGGGGAGGAGAGTTCTAGCCCTCTAGACAGGAGGAGGGCTTCGCTCCCATCCTGAGGGGACTCGCCCTCCACTCCCATTGGACTACCACCCATCATTGCCTGCACTTGAACCTCGACTAACGTGGCTAGAGAACAAAAAGAAAAAGATAAAATTAATCACATTGATTTATGAAAAACTAATTATAGACTTGAATCTTGTATTGGCCACTTAGATAAATACACTTAGATAATAACGAGTTATAAGGCGAGTCGTGTGGTTAAAGACTAAGGAAAGGTAACCAACAAGGTTACACAGTTATTCACATCATCATCATCTTCAGCCTAAAAGTGCTTACTGCTGAGCAAAGGCCTCTTCTAATGAAGGTTTGAGCATTGATCACCATGCTTGCTCAGTGAGAATCGGAGATTTTAAACTTATAATTATAAAAAGTCCAGGTTTCCTCACGATGTTTTCCTTCACCATTTGTCAGTGGTGTCTAAATAATAGAAAGTACATATAATTTAGAGAAAAGTCACATTGGTATTTGTCAGGTTTCGGACCCGCACCTTTATGCATGAGAAGCGGGCGCCTTAACCTCCGGGTCACCACAGCTATGTTGTTACACACTATAACAGTTTTTCATACAACACTAATACTCAAGTTTCAGTAAAAAAATATGTAGAATCTCCAGTACTTTGTTGATACGACACACTAAACGCATTTAGCCAATGCTCACTATTGCCCATATATGGCAACATTTATTAGTATGCCGCTAATGCTGCGCGAACGCACAATAGGTACACCTGCACCAACTAATTCCGATCATGACTGGATTTAAAAAGGATATGATTTAGAACAATAAATCATTACAAGAAATTAAAATATTTGCGAGACAATTACGAAACACACACAATATTTGCTATTTTGAATCTTATGACCTTATATCAAGGTCATAAGATTCAAAATAGCAAATAGTATTATAAGAATATTTATAGACGTGTTTGTAGGTATTTAACCAAATATTAAAATATTTTCGACCGTGAATTCATGAATACTTATGAAATGGACTATAATAATAGAATGATCTGATTAAACGCCTACGCTAAAATTCTCAACATTGTCACTGGTTAGTATTTTTAAACGACATTCAACTCAATTAGTAAAGACATAAGTATTATTATTTGAAATAGTTTGAATAATTGATACTGGGATATACCGAGTGTCCTTTGTTGTTTAATTTTATAATTATTTGTTCTTCTCAACAGGATGTTCGTCTGGCGCTAGATACAAACCGCAGATGAATAATTGGTACATTTATATCATTATCCGGTTAATGAATAATGTTCTACGGCTTATTCACGAGTTTATTTAAAGAACTCGGCTAGTTTCAAGCTATCGTAGGGCTCATAGTTATGAAGAGCATTGCGCGACGCGGCACAGCGAGCGGTCTTGTACGTATATGTTAACACAAAGGCCTGATTCACCACACAGAGCCGATAGACCACTACAGATGGGGCCTAACAGGGAAGTTTTGAAGAAGGTTTATCCGGGGTTGTGGGTACAAACGCACTAATGTACCGCGACTCCGGCCTGGACCAGGATCGTAAAAAGATGAATTTAAATTTAGAACTTTATTTGTATGAACTATGTGCTGCCTTAGTTTATCTGGTACTTATATGAGGGTGATAAAATGTCCGTCACAAAAAAAGTAGGAATTATTATGGGAAAATGCTAAATCTTGCTACGATGCCACAGACAGATACACAAACAAAGACACGTCAAACTTATAACACCCCGTCGCTTTTGCGTCCAGGTCCAAAACAGGCGCTAAGTTTCACAAGGGAGATAAATATCAAAAAAATATCTAGTTATATTAGACACTATTAACACAATCACGCTAGCGATGTAATACATACGATAGGTATTATTATATACTGAGAATTAACACATTAACCTTGTCGTGTTATTCCACAGCTATTAAAATCACGCATTTTAAAATATTACGCGATACATAATGGATATTCGTAGATTAACAACCTAACTGTTTATAATATAAAGGATATTTTTCTTTAAAACTGAGGCAAACTTTGGTTGACCGTGTAGGAATACTAGGTACAATTGTTATAGAGATAACACTATCAAATACTAGTTGTGGACATTATCATAAAACATTTAATTTTGGTAAAGATCCCGGGATCGACTAAACTATTCGTGAGTTTTATCCGTTACTTCCGAATATTCCTAGTTAAAGGATTCTGAGATGTGTGGTATTATGACCGGAATATTGCAATAGTCTTACTTGCATACACAGGACTTGTGACCAAACTATAAGAAGAAGAGTAGATTTTGTATATTATGTACACCTCTGTCCCTCTATACCCTCTCCCCTTAGGAGATGAAAGACATGACGGTATTGTATTTATAAATCGTGGTAATTAGAGTCACAATAGGTGCGCGGACACCGGCGTTCGCCTTGTGGTTTGATGAATTAATATACTTACAAAATGTCAACGGTGGTATCTCAATATCAGGAGCCAACAATTTGGATGCGCACGCGGCTCCAGCGTAAACAAGTTCCATTTCAAGCGCAACTAGACCTTGACGCTGTGTGGTCAAGGGGGTATCTTCGTAACCGACGCACAGGCATCGAAAACCAAAACGGTTGTCTTCGCTGTTGTAAAATAAAATTCATTAGTTTTAAATCTTAACATTCTTAACAATAAATAAACTCAAGCGCAAAATTTTGTTTCTGAGCTTTGCGCAACCGTTGCGCAGATATTTTTAAATGGTGAAACATGTTAAAACTTACTTATTAGATTTGTTGAATTCAGTTAAATAGTCTGATGCTGTCTCCAAAGAGAATATAACTTCGTTTCCTGGTACCAAAATTGCCTTTTGAGGCCAGTCGCTAGCGCTGAAACAAATAGTTTTAATTTTTACTTGTTTTTAGGTTGTGTTTCATAATAAGAAGAATTATACTTAGCAAATACCAAAACTACGAAGGTTTACTGTTAATTTTGCGACGTAAACGTAACGACGTACATGCTTACAGCGTCATTACTCGAGAATTTTCGTACATATATTTTACAGATATTACTTTTACTACATTTACTAAGTAGATTACACTACAAACTACACAACGTTATGCAGTGCTTTTGTACATAACTGTACATACACTAGACACATCTATTGGCCCACCTTAGAGTTCAGGTTCTGATCGTTGAAATATGATTGCCAGATTTAACAAAAACTATTGATGCAGTTTTAAAACTGCATAAAAACTTTTTGCTTTTTACCTATACGTTGTAGCTTACCTATATGTTGTACTCTAAACCTAAACTGTAACTGAACTTATATGCGATCGAAACCGATCGATAAGACAATTTATCATTTTGAATTGCATAGTTTATGCAGTGGATAGCCAACTAGCTACTGTGTGAACAACACTTTGTGTGATGTAAGTGAAACGCACCCACACCATAAGAAAAAAGTGAGGAAACGTTGAATTAAAAAAATAATAAATTTTAAAAGAAAAATTTATTAAAATCAGACTTACTTATTGGCTAGTCTAGGTGTAACACCGACGTAAGTGCAGTTGTAATGCATACAAACACCATCTCCGTCCGGCTCCTCCCCTAACTCTTCCACTTCTCCTTCATTCGTCAACTGGACTAGTCGCTGATAAGAAGAAACGTGCTTTAGTTATATATTGAAGCAAACTATAATAATAAGGATTTTACTAGCTAGTACATAAGGACTATTTTTGAATACATTATGAGAAAATTTACTGTTACGCTACTTTTTTGATACTGGGACCAAACGGACATGTCAACTACTTGGTCATGTAGTAACAATTAAGACTAATACAGTTTTTAGGACACCGTAATCCCAATTGAAACTAAATCACATGGAACATTGATTGAGGCCACACATTTTATACATGTTCATAAAATATGTTTCATTAAAATATCAAGGCCCTACTCTTGTATCATTTATTGTCTCTTAGTTACAGTTGTAAGCACAATTTTGACATAACCAATTATAACATTAAAATCATTACATGAGGGTATCATAGCCTGCGAGACGTAACATCGAAGCCCATCGCTCAAACACTTTTTTTTTATTCGTAAGCATTTTGGTCGCTATCACGCCTGGTGGTAACCAATGATGCGACATGAAGATGTGATGCGATGAAGCACGCCTACCAATAAACAATTTATTCACTCAGGCCTGGATGTCACCCTATTTTATACCCTTCGGGGAACACGGACTGTGTCGATTAAGCAAACGATCTGCAATTTTTCCCATCTACCAATCTACCACCTTACTATATTAATAAGCGAACCAATAAATACGAATAACAAATCTAAGAAAAGTATTATTTATTATTAGGAGTTGTTATATTTTATGCTAACGTCGACGTTGAATCGTACAAACCTCGAACTAGCTGACTAAAAATTTTACATTGAATCTACCTATTTGATCTATATCTACTAAAAATACAATGAAACTACAATGAATGAAATAGCTTAGCATACGTTTTGGACCAAAAATATTGACGGGTAATGATGCTTCGACAGCTTCAAATCCTCACAGAATTTAAGTGGAAACAGATAATTACGAGTATCTAGGAATCAAGTACCTGTTTTGTTTAGGCATGTGGATTATACCAATTTTCAAGTAATTTCTGGATCAGTTCAATTTTGACTAGAACGCCGAAATATTATGATATGCGTTTATATAGATACACTAGTCTCTCTCGCGCGGTTTCACCCGCTGCTCAGGTTCCCTTTGATAGTAGCGTGATGTTTTATAGCTTATACTCTCACTCGGACTTAGGAACATTGGAGCTGTGTATCAGTTAAAGAATTTTAGGAATCAAGCGGTTCCAAACATTTCCCCCTACATACAAACTTACAAATTATATTAGAATAATAGTAGTATTACTTGCTGTTGTGAGGTTGGGCTGGGTACAGCTGTCCGAGTAATATATTTCACCCTCACTAACATTTGTCTAGAGCACTCTGTAACATCATCATAAAGCACATAGCACTAAAATGAATGATGTGAGTGATGGACGACTTTCTACCTTATATACCTTTCTGAAAGGCGGATCCGAAACTCGGACCTCGTTGGCACAGTGACAACGATGTTTCGGAGTCCCGGCCACTGCGTAGATGGTGAGAGAGTCTTCCGGCTGAGCGGTGATGCTACGAGGATCCATCTCCAGTACCACCCAGGACACGTTAGTAGGAAATAGTACTCTGGGAACAGGAAAAGTGTTTCATATGTTAAAAAAAGAAATATAAAATCAATTTTACTTTAAACATATACAATTTTTACCCATTAATGTCAACCACGCATATATGTATTTGACAGAGTCGTTTCTCATTAGAAGTAAGAACATCGAAATTGGAAATCTAACAGTGTGATAATATAATTATGTAGTAATTGAGACACAATGAAACAATGTTTATTTTTGTAAATGAATACGTATTTATATTTTAATAATTCTTAGAAACGAAATTATGTATTTTGTACTAAAAAGCTACTAAAAAGCTAGATGTTAAAGTAACCAACCTCATATTAGTGACGGTAGCCTGTTTGTACGGATGGTCGCTCTCTAGCCACGTATAGTAATGTCCCGTGGTAGTGCTCGTTTCCTCCACACTAGGCACCAGCAAGTTCATGGCAGCCACGTGAGGAAGCAGCTTGTGAATCATCTCCAATATTTTGATGACACTCTGCAAAGTGATATTTATTCAGTTTAGTAGAATATTTCTGTCAAACTAAATTATAAGTGACAAACTTTTTCTTCCAATATAAACAAAGTTCTATAAGTATTTATATTATATTGGACTGGAAAAAAAACAAACAGTTGAACCGGTAAGTATTTACTTGAGTCAGATTGTATTATTATTGTAATACGGTAATATCTAACTATAGTCAGAATTTTAATTCGATTCCTGATTTGACATGACCTACTGTCATTTTGGGAAATAATGATACCACATATAAAAGTGTAGTGATGAACACAAAAATCGATAAACAATCAGTGAATCAGTTTCAGGAAGGCATTCAAAAAATTACGGCTACCGAATGGTCTAAACGCGTATCCCATTTTGTCAAAGAAAAGGAAAAAATTAGTAAGCTAGATATGTTAATTGACAATAAATATCACAGACACAATTCATAATAAATGTTACAGAAAGTAACAGTGATAGCGATAGCGATGACGGCGACAATTTATAAAATGTCTGTTTTATTTGTCATGTTCCTTAATGATCACATTTTTTTATTAATTTCACACACAATTACAAAAGAAAAGTCTCAGATCGTTAATTAATTGTCAAAACTAAATTATCGGTTCAGAAATATTTTATTTCCTGATAAACTTAGTTTACGAGATTAAATTTATAAACTAGAGTAATCGATTCAGAAATATTCGATATCCATATCGAATAATTTCGCAACGTCAATATTTATTGCGTGTCATAACGTTGCAACACTGAAATTGTCAAATCTGGAATGGAATTAAAATTCCGAGTATAGTCAAATAGAATACGAAATTCGAAATGTGGAAATAGCTATTCTGTGCTTTTTATGAAATTCGTGAGTTAGACGAGAGTGAGATTTTATGAAATTTTTTGAGTCAAATAGCGTGCTTATTTCTGTACTACTCTTATATATCTATCATTACTATTCTTACTAAGAATTTTGAAACCGAAACGAATAAGACAGTCAATTACTTAAGTAGACCCACCTTAGAATCATCAACGCCTTCCAAATTGGCGAGGGTGTAAGGTATCAATATGTTGATGGCTGGGGAGCTCTGCAGCACAGTGGCGTTCCTCCGTAAGTCCTCAGCAGTCAGCTCGTTGCGCAATGTGCAAAACAGGTCAGCACCACGTTCCATGACGGTGGAGGCCACGCGGAGAGTGATGGAACGGAGTGAGGATAGGAGATTGTCCGCCGACTCCGAAGAGTTCGATACGTTCTTTGATGACCTGTAAGAGATTAAACAGTTCTTTGGTAACAAAATCTACAGAGGGTCATGTACCTACTATGATCTTTGAGACCTTAAAAGCCATGTGAAAACTAACTATTCTGCTAAGTGACACTCACCCATAATACACCAGGCTAGGTATCTGTCCCCTGGCCAATGTGGTTCCATTAAAGCTGAGAGAGCAGGACGCGAAACGAAACGTAGTACCGTCGGGGCCCTTGACGGACGGTAGCCCGCAGTCACCGTTAGAAGTACGTCCTCCATGGTTGCAAAGACGTATGGCGTAACGTAAGTCCTCCTGTTAATAATAATAAATAAAGAGAAATGTTATTTGTGAAATCCGGAACGATAATATGGATTTTCCGGCTAAGAACCAAAAGACTGACATATCAAAGCATTGAAATCGGCCGAGCACGGAAAAATATACATAATCAATATGTGGAACATGTTTTTTTTTGCTAAAAATAGTTCCAGTCACACCTTCAATATTGTCAGCCATCAATACCTCACATGGCACTGAATTACAGTGGTTATATCTCATGTTTACCTTCAAAGGCACTGGTCGTTCGAACTTGAGCTGCACTACATCATGCTGCAGGTCAGCAGCGCTGTAGTTCCCATGCACGATCTCTACGCTCACCCAGCAGTGGGTAGAGTTTGCTTCATCGGCTGATGCGCGTAGCTGTCACGGAAATAGGATAGTCAATCAAAATCAAATAACTTTTTGAACGTCACACAAAATGAATAAATATAAAAAGCGTCTGTCTCTCGATCAGTAGTAAATCAGAGTCAATGTATTAGCTCGCTTCCAATGCAGATAGAAAAAGAATAAACTGCTAGGTAGTAATTTTGAATGCTTTTTATTGCTGCATCTCTTTCTTTCTCCCTATCTCTTTCGCTTATACATTCTTGTACTGAATGAAAGAGTCCTTAAAGTTTTCACAAAAATGACACGGAGGTCAGGTTTAATCCCTCTCACCCGTACATCGTGTAGAAGTTCGAGAGAATATTCGTAGTTCCCGAGACCGCCGTAGACACAAACGCCGACCAACGTCACCCCGGGCCGGTCTACGGTGAAGCAAATCGCATCCGGACTGCCGTTGCCAGTGTTCCAAGCTCTCGATTGATTCACTCGCATAAACCGTGATGGCGTCACAAAGTTCTTCACCACGTTTGAATCTGTATCCTGCTGAAATATTTTAACACCTGTAGTTATATACCATAAGGTTATAAATAGATTTTTTATGAGAAAGGTCGGCAAATAAGCAAACGGATTACCTGATGGTAAGCAATTGGCGCGGCCCATGGGTACCCACAACACCAAAGGAGTTATGAGGGCGTTGCCTGCCTTTTGGGAATAAGGGTAAGGATTTTGAAGGAATGGGGGAGGGGAGGGATTGGGGCTTCGGTTACCTCAGTCACACAGCAAAACACAACTATCTAATAACTAATAATAAAGTTGTTTCACGCCGATTTTCTGTGAGATGGTATAAGTCCGGTCCAGCCGACCTATTCACACGCTTAGGTAACTACAGCCTAGTGTGTGTTAGTTAACAAATCTCTTTAAAAATACTCACCCGAATAGAAGTGGCACTGGTAGACATTTCAGCTACAATCCTAGCGATAAGCTTGCAACAATACTCTGAGAGTTTCTCCTGTTGTTTTATCTCGCCGTGGTCGTGAGGCTGGCCACATTGGCGCGTCATCATCTGCTGCTTGATGGGGTTTAAGACTATGTCCAGTAAACGAGGGATCACGTCCAATAGGTGCCAGTCGGCATGGTTCGGCTTGGATTCCGATGTATCGGGGGCCTGTAAGAAACACGATTAATTGAAAAACGGAACTGAAACTGGACTTCATGCTGCCTAGTTATTCGTGACACATGAAGATTATTGTTGAACAAGTTATGTGTATTATACATTTGTAAGGTCAGGAAAGGTTAGTAGGTTCTTAATTTTATTGTAGCAACTTGGTAAACAAAACTGTGTAACTTTGATATGTAATTTAGATCTTAGCCTTAAAAGGGATCTTACTTTTGTAGCATCTCTACTATTGGCTCGCGGAGGTATGGGAGGTGGTTTCTGAGCGTGTGAAGATCGCGGGACCGTCGCCGACTTTGCAGGGATCTCTTTAATGATTATCTGCACAATTTAAAATAGCACATTATACTTTTACAAACAACGTAACAATAGTATGTGTCTAGCAATATTTTTCGCAGGGCTAAATGATGTCCTAGAAATCTACAAATGAACTACAATCACTGATATTAGCTTAACACTAAAAAACTACGCTACATATGAACATATATAGACACATATACATTCATTTCTACATGCATACTGGTCGATTTAAGGTGCTTCTAATTTGACTATTTTTACTTGAAACTAATTAAAACTGATATAAATAAAGCAAAGCCAATAAATTAATAGTTAATAGTGAATTGATGTAATAAGAATTAATGGTAAACCTTTTTAAAATTAGCCCTTGCCTTGCTGTCTGGCCGGCGGTTCTCATTGGCGTTTATATAGCTTTGTGTGACAGGCACTACGTATTGCAAAACGTCGCGCAGACTCCGCGACGCGCACATCGCGGCACAAGTCGCTGTTAGTTCCCGTATCTGCGCTGCCGGGACCACACCCTCCTGTAATAACCATTGCGCCATTAGTGTGACATAAAAGCAAATCCAAAGGGCATGTCCAGAAATGGGTTTTATTATTATATAATTCTAACCAGAATAAGTTTAGATATAGACTTCTCAAAACCTAGTGCTTCTAATTATAACAACATTACTAAACACCTCCTCCACCACCTTTAAGAAAAATCGTTTTTTTATTTTATTTTAGTGAGAGTTTACTTCTAAGACGAACAAACCTTTGTAATTATCTAGGTTAATAAAGTGAAAAACAATTTAACTTGTCAAAATAGACACAGGAGTAATGTCAAATTGCCCATATATAGGGATGCGAATTGAAATCAGTTTATCGTAAAACGATTTTCCAAGACATAAAAATCGATATTTGTTGTGTATTTTAATCATGAATTATTAGGGCTGCCAAAAACTAATCAACAGTCATTATTATTTTATGATTCGCTTAAGTGGAGGAGTTGAAAAATATTATTTCAGTAGTCCCTAGTTCCATATTTATATCGTATTTATTTGTGAAATTTTGATGCTAATTGAATTTCAATCGGAATAAAAAACTAAAGTCCGTACAAAAAGCGGACATCGCTTTTAGTTCTAACTTACAACCACATACCTTAACGTTAAATAACATGGAACAAAGATGGTTCCATTTCAGCGTCGGCGTGGGGAAGAAAGCATGGAAGCATGCCGTTATTGTATCATGCGCTTCGTTCAAGATCGATGTGATCAACTCCAGAGCAAATTGCACATAGCACACTCTGTGAGCCTTAGTTTTCCCAGGTTTCCGAGGCAGCATCGAGCATGTGGGCGTCTGGTCAGCCATTATCGTCTGAATCAAATTCCGCACTTCAGCAATAGCTTCGAAATACGACATGTACTCATGGGAGTTACGTTTCCTGTTATTCTGTGGGTAAATCTCATTGATGTAAGACTTCACCAGTCGCAGGCACGCTCTGATCACATAGACCAGCCTCTTTTGATGTTTCATCACAGTCAGTTTCTGGTAGTTGATGGGCACTAAGCCATTTGTTTCCAGGAGAATTTGTTTGAAGGTATCCCAGCTCCATTGTAATAACGTAATAAGTGACTTAAAGCAGGACACAGTCACTTTTCTCGATAAGTTCTTAGACAGAACTATAATTGGTTCACCCAAATCTACGACTTTGAGTGGTAAGGTCTGGTCAGGGCTAACCGTGTTGTAAATGAAACACGGAATTTGTCCCGCGTTCACGTCTGTTCCATTATTTGATTTCTTTGAGGTTTTGAAATGGAAACCTATTTCGTCGTTTATGACCATTGCCTGGCCTGAGGAGCCGCAGTCTGACGAGGGTCCACTTATGCAAGCCCATGCGACATACCATCGGTTAGCCTGTAAAGAATGGATGTTTATTAAACCGCATTCAAAGTGCAAAGAGTCATTCAATATTCTTCAACTTACCGCAAGCGGCACAGGATTGTCGAACATGACTGGAAATCGATCTCTCGGGGGGCATTCGTAAATGATCTCATCACTCTCCGTCAATAACTCCCCGTCGCCCTCCTGGTCACCGCCTTCGATGCCGATGTCGTACAACTTCACTTTAGCAGTATAATCACCACGGCCACCGTACAAACCGATACCACCTGACAATATATTTTATAAGTTTAATGTATGGAATAAACTAACGTACCACTATTCAAAATCAATGCTGAATTAATCACTTAAGGCATTTACTATGTACTATACAATAGTACTAAGGACACCCTGTAAAAGTTCGAGAACCCCTAAATACATAAAAAATAAAATTGATTAATCCGGCATTAATTCCTTTATATCTAATTTCACCAGACAGTGAAAGGGACCCCAAGGTAGATAGTACTCTACTTACCCAACAAAATGTCAGTGTCACACATAAATCTTATAGCTTCAACGGAGTGTCCTGAGTAACCCCATCCTCCGCCATTACTTTCGAACCTGTTCACCGTCTGGTAGTCTTCCTTGACTGGAAGTATTGGAGATCCTAAGTTATCTCTCTTCGAATCCGATTGGTTTAACCTGAAAATGTTATGTTACTTATTAATTTCACGTGGGAGAGCTATATTTTAAGAAAATTGGGCCAGCTCGACTGCATTGATACAATGGCCTTTTAAAAGGGCATCTCGACGAGACGAATTTCTTCGTGTGAATGATATAGATTTTCTTACCTGATGTCATGAGCGTACGTCAAAGAGTCTAAACATCCCAAAAGATGCAGTGCGGCGTGCATCCGAGTAACAGAATAACCAATCGCTGATGGAATGGCAAGTTCCTGGTTGAGCACCGACATATTGGACAGAGCGACATTGTCTGTTGGCCTATCCTCATCGCGGCAGGACAAGTCAAAGTTTTCCAAGTTCTTAAAATCTTCTAATCGTTTCATACTGCCATAGTTTGGGTATTCAAAATCTCCATCGCCGAAATATGACTCGGGATCGTTGCAGCATTTTTGCAATTTGTGCGAGTCGAAAGCCAGTATGTTGTAGCACTTCATAACCCTCATCTGGGGCTGGTAACACCAGAGCACGTCGTACAAAGGATCCAGGCATGCGAGACTGTTCACAAAGTCTACTTGCTCGGAGCCAGTCCACGTGTTGCATGAACCGTCAATTTTATTTATGGTTATGCATTTGAATGTGTGCTCCGGTCGGTTTGGTAAGATTACTGAAAGATAAATACACATCACTGTAACAGTTTTGCCAATAACCGAAGGTTTCCTTAATACTTTTATTGTTAGTTGATATCAAAACAGTGGACATAACAAATTTTTCATTTATTTATTTAATTCTATTTACTATACAAGATAGATACAAAGGCGGTGAAGCCACTGGCACTTTTTCATGTCTTTAGGTGTTGTAGAGACAGTAAAATGGAATTGGAATCAAGACAAAATAGTGATTGCGCTCTATAGTGTGCAGAAACTTATATCGCGAAACTTAACTATATCAAAGGACGACACCACTGGTGTATTTTATAGCAATAATACTTACTTATAGTATTTGAATTAGCCGTAATAGTTGAGCTGAATAGTGTATCCGTCTTAATCAAAGCTTGCGACACCTGAACAAAGGTCTGATCTCCCGAAGCCGAGACCCAAACAGCTTTACAAGAATGTCTAGGACCCAGTCTAGGGACTCGGCCAGGCGTAGCGTACCAGATAGGGCTTCGGTCGGATCTCAGAGGTTCTTCCATTCGAGGACGGCCTAGTGATCCTTTCTGTAATTTAAGTTCTCTTTGTAAATAACTCAATTGATTATGGGTTTTAGTATTTGGATAGAACTGTTGCATGTTATAATGATCGATGGACAAAAAAATACCTGATAACTTCCAAAAGTGTACAGTTCTCCTTCTCTTGTAAGTACAGCAGTATGATTACTGCCAGCGGCCACGCTTGATGCTTTAGGAACCCGCACTCGTACGATTCTGTGATGCACTGCAATATCACCCGCTCCGAGCTGACCGTACTGGTTTGAACCGAAGGTCAGAACGTCACCTAGAATACCATAAAACGTCAGGTCAAATCGGCTTCAACGTGGTGAAAAATAATTGTTATCATCAGTTTTTTCAAGCACAAACATTGGATCCAAAGAATGATAAATATTTATGGATGTACAAACATTGTAGCAGTTTCTTCCACTTACCATGTTCAGTCAGCAGCACTGTATGATGCAAGCCACACGCTACGGCGACGATGCGGTGTCCGCCCGGCACGGCCACTCTTGCCGGGGGTAAACAAGTCACTTTGAGACTAGCATCGCGGTCCATTTCCGAACTAGCCGCAGCGCCTTCGAATAACGAGAACCGCACGTTTTCTTTATCTAGAGACAGAACAAACTTCATAAAAATCTTCATCTAGATGTTACTTATGCTTTTTCTAACACAACCTAAAACACCTAAAGAAAAACGAGCGGACAGCGAGGTAAGTAGACACAGAAAGCACAGAACCAGGGTGTTAGAAGGAATTCAGTTGAGACTATCTAGCCACACTCATTGGGAAGTAGCGAACGAATTATTTCGAATAATTCCATCCACAATCTATATATCTCTAGCTCTACGTAAAATCTTATAAAGCTCACCACTTCTTGTGTCTAGTATAGCGAAGACTTCGGCGATGTCGTCAATATCTGCGGCAGTGATTAGAGGCTTCAGAACGAATGCCTAAATACTAGGCGGGTCGTAGCTCATAAATATACATTACACACACCTACATTTCATCCGTCCTCTAATTCAAACATTTCTATGAGGGCTGGTATAGCATTATTTGGTCATTGGCAAATTGATAATCCTTTCAGTTAGTGCCTACTGTCTGCACTATTAAACAGTTTTTGCTTACACTAGCTTAAATCTAAGTTCCCCTGTGTAATGTATTGCTCACCTATCATCGTCTCGAGACTAGAAGAGGCTCCTGCGCAGTTGTTATCAAAATCTGTGACAGTGACGGAACATGTATTTAGTATCACCGCCTAGTTGTCAAATATAAATATATATTGTATTTTTGTTTGACTCAAAAATAAATAAACGTATATGTCATGCTTAAGAAAAACTGAGAACTACTGGAGACTAAATTTCACGATTCAATTTTACAAACATTCGTGCATTTTGTACTAATTTTGCCAATGTTTTAAATCATTGTAAATAGATTTTATCGCCGATCAAGATGTAAAAACTTTTCAATATATTTTCTTTGTTGTCTTTTTTCATTTTAATGAATTACTACAAGACCCTATAACATAGGATAATCACAGCCTAAGGCTTGAAAAACAGTGTTTATTATTTGAATTATATGTGATAAACATCTAGTTTGCTCACCGCTCCGTGTGTCGAGTCTAGCGGAGACGTCGCCGTCGTCGTCAAGATCTGTGATAGTGACGGAACATGCTTTAAGGGTCTGTCTATGGGGTACGTGCCTGAGTGAGGACAACGGTGTTCTAATGTACGATCGAGGTATTTTTGGTCGACTTCCATTACATTGAACTATCGCTTTATTATAGAACTGAACATGACCTAAAGGTTGTGCGAATATCCTAAATGATACACATGTTAGATGATGACATTTTACACGGGTGTGTTTGAAAACAAACGCGCTTATCGTGCGGACGGGTGAACTGTAACCATTTTAACGTTCCCGAAACTTTACCTGTTGATTTAATGACATTGTAATTAGCGTTACCTTATTGTCTGATGTCGATACTCGAATTCGGGTCAAATAAATGGTTTAAGCAAGAAAATCGCAGCTGTAAATTAGAAGCTTAAACGCGGAGACATATCTACTTGCAACTCGACAAGATAAAATCTCGAAAGACGCAACAATATTGTGAAGCTACATGTATACTTAAGCTTGAAGCAGATTAAGGCTCATTTGGCTGCATCAAAGCAATATCGTTTGTAAAAAGCGAAATTTTGTAATAATTCTACGTTTAAATAAAAGAAAAACTCATCGACTCAGCAATTAAGACATGAGTAGATGGTTTAATTCGTTGACTGCAAATGCTACCTTCATTAATAAGTTAACTACGTTTTTCTTACTTCAATCTCTGGTAATGAGGGAATGACTTCAGATGCCAAATACGCCGTATTGCCAAGTATACTCTACAAATGCGCTAAATGCTAGATATAATGCAATAATAGAACTGGTTATTTAAATACAAATGGCTACTGACTACGCAGAACATACAGAGTTCTGAATAGAAAATGCGAGGCGTACCGATTTCAGCGCAATGAAAATCGGCCAAAGATATGTCGTTAGAATACCGTTGTAAAGTTTATCTTTATAAACTTACCGCTTCTGGAGTCTGGTCTGATGGATGGTTCGCCATCGTCGTCGAGGTCCGTGACAGTGACAGTTGACGATCGTTCAGGCCGACTAGCCATCACGAATGCGTCTGCGCATCTTCGACAGACTCCGCAAACTGCACAACCACTGTCGCCTTCGCCGCAACCGCATTTCCTATTGTTAAGTATGAAAAGTGTTCAAGTAATGGACTTAAATGCTAACAAAAATACAATAATACATATAAGGTTCGATACAATTTACTCTTAGAGACTATGAATATGATTTTTTTCTCTCTAAAACAAATGTAACGGCTACCAAAAACAACCAAGTTGGATTTCTACTCGAAATTACAAATACAATCGTATAAATCTTAAATAAACCAAATACATTTCTATAGATAAATGCAGACTTTAAAAACATATTTTCTTCACGACTTTAAGTAGTATCTGAGACGATCCTACGCCAACAATGCATTTTATCCTATTTCGCTACACAGTGCGCAGAGGTGATGAAAGTCTGGAAAAACTGATTTTCGTTGGGAACACTGAAGGCAAGCGATCGCGTGGTGGTTCACCAACCCGATGGAACGATCAAGTGAAAGATTCATCGTCCTCCAAATTCTTCGTGGTAGTGAGAGATGCGCTGGATCGCATGGACCAATGAACCGGTGGAGGCGGATCATCCGATGTTGCCCTGATTGATGACACTGGCCACGATGTTTAGATATGAGAGACCGACTATTAGAAGAGAAAACAATCCTGTACTTACTCCCCGGGCACTCTGTTAGGGAGATGCGAGCAGTGGCAGGCGCTGGAGAATCCTGTACAGTCCCTGCACAGCACACACACGCGGCAGTAGTCTGTCGTCCACGTGTGAGATGTGGAACAGAGCCGGGACTCTTCCTTGTTCTCGCGACGGCGAGACGATGGGAACATTTCTGAACAAAGAGAAAACATGTATTAAAAAAATCCAAAGATAACTAGACATTTTTTTATTTGTTCTTTATATACAACTGCATATCGAAAGACTTAGTGATAGAAGCATTTTTTGCCAGCTATTCTCCTTTTTCAGTGTTTTGAAAAAGTCAAAAGCTTTTACTTCTTGTAGTTCTTGTGTATTATCGAGTAGAAGATTAATTTGCCGCTATTAAATGCAAACTTCGGGACCAACCACATGCTCACCGCAATCTAGCGTGAAGCAGTCTATGACATAGGAAATTAGTGCTCTTTTCACTTGCATACATTTGAATAGATTGCAAAAATCATAATTATTTTTTATAATACATGCTATATTAATACTTACTTTCTTTAGTATATCCGAACTCGCGTCCACATTGTCCCTTATTGTTGATTCCAAAAGTGTAAACTTGACCGAAGTTTGTTAATGCTACGGCGTGAGCCTTCCCAAGTGCAACCTAAAATAAACGGTTTTATTAGGTACTAACATTTTAGTATTCATTTCTCTAACAAACATTTATGTTTTACAGATTCCAGGAATACCAGAATAGTCGCTGAAGAGCGAGAGCAAGAACGGTAAGAGAATAGAAGCGTCACTGGCGCGTTGACGCCTTTAAAGAAGGAGAATGCTCTTTTCTTGATGCTTTTAAGGTCGTAATTAAATAGAGATCATCATCAATCTTTATAAAAAGCTCAGAAACTATGTGTAGAAGTCCCATAGTCTAATAAGGGCCCATTTAAAAACAGAACTCACTTGCACAATCCTCTCATGTCTTAGCCCCAGTACTTGTCCAGCGGAGTCGCAGTGTTGCGTGTCTTTACCAAACATTAGCAAATGGCCTTGCCTCGTCACTAATGCAGTCGAGCCGTAGTTACATGCCGCATACACTACGAAGTGTCCTTCTGCCTGTAATGTGAGACAATCAATTATTATTATTATTTGTATGTCCAGCTTATTTTTGTCCGGGACCTTTGGAAGGCTTACGACGGGCCAAATCAAATAGAGTATTGTTGCTAATTATATGACACAGTTTCTAGTCTGTAATTGGGGAGAATTTATATAGCGAATCGTTAAAGTATGAGCTAAATTGACACCATGTCTTTTGTAAGGGAGTGTATTATTATTTAGAGTCTAAGAGAATATGAGAATATAAGAATTAGATATGTTCATTTAGTAGCTTTTTTGTCAGGGGAAAATCATCAAATGACTTCTCCCAGACAAAGTGAGGCGAGAGGGAGTGTCAGACTCTTACTTAGGCCGCGGTGCCTCATTGCGCTTACCTTACAACACGGCATATTTATTTAATAGCTGATCTGATTTTTTTACTCTTGTGTAGCATGGAAATTTCAAGATTGACTAAATTTATCAGCTAATTAGTATACACATTATGTTATACCTTAAATATCTTCTTGGGTCGTGTAGGTTTGGGCTGTCGTCGGTGTTTCATTGCGTCACCATCCTCGCCACGCCGAGCGATACCGGTGAACAATGCTGACCCATTGTCCAGCACTAAGATAGCGTGGACTCCCTCGTGACCTACGGCCACCTGTAACGAAAAGGAACTATGGGTGATTTCAAATCAAAAACATGGCCATTTGTTTTAATTATGATTTACGGTGCGATACTGATCATGCACATGAGTGTGGCTCGAAAATAATCGAAATATCTCGATAGAACAGTGACGATAACAATTCAACACTACCATTAAATATGTCTCAAGATATTTCTAATACAAAAACAATTATTTGTTTTATTTATAAATAATTCTACTGTTGAAACGACCAAGGCGGAGCCAAGGTATCTACAGAGAAACACCATAGCCCAAACAAACACAGAGACACCAGTTTCTTGCTTTACACCGGAAAACCTTAAGCACATGCTCACCTGCATGACCTTGCATCTCTTAGCGTTCGGTGCTTCGTTTCTTGAGAATATAGTTTCCTTCATTAGGGTCCACCGTCCAGTTTGTGGAGAGGCCGCCTTGTAGCCAAGACTGGCGCCCTTGCCGGTGTAGTACACCTATAACAAACAAGGAATATATAAAGCTGTGCCTGTTATCTTCATTTAAGATCCCTCTACCTATTTACCTTAACATGCAAATAAAGAATCTGAAGTTGATCTCAAGATTGACCTATAGGTTTTTGACAAAAACTCAATATTTTTTGACAGGAAACAAGCCTGATCATCACCTTATTGTGCGCCAATCTTGCCGCCGAGTTATAATTGCGTGCGGTCATTTGTAGATTTTTAGGAACATGAGGATTGAAGGTTTGGGGATCAGGCATGTGGTAACCCCACTCACACGGTATTTAGTGAGGCCGTGGTATAACTTCGGTCTCACCTAGACTAGACTAGAACTAATGTCAGACTTTTTATTAAATTCGGCCTTAAGTCAACAATCAACTCAATGTAAAGGACCTATTATTTGCTATATTGTTTTAATTTTACTAATTATCTTGTTGTATCGGTAATTTCAAATTGTTTTTAATTTGTTTAACCAGTAATGCAGATTTGATGTTTAAATAATGTTCATTTGGTACAATGACTGTAAACAAAATACATAAAGCAGCAGTAAATCAGAAGCAGCAAAGAACAAAGAATGTATGAATGCACAGCTTGATAGTAATAACCATCTACATTTAACTAGACTATAGGTAGGATACACACATTTTTTTCCAATAACTATACCCTTACCTTTCCAGAAGCTGTAGTAAGAAGTGCGAAATCCTGTCCACCATAAATGCTGAGCAGGGGATCATCATCATTATCATCGAGTTGCATTGCTACCGGAGTGTCCAGTTCAGCTGCTCGTCTAGACATTCCGTCATCAAAGGGACTGCGGCCCAGTACTAACGTCCTACGCCTTAATAGATGGACGTTGATCTCTTTCACTGACGTCAGAGTTGTGGTGGCTGTGCCCTCGTCGCGTTCCGGCTGGGAGTCAGCGTCGTACAATCGAATTGTGAGGTTGTCCTGTAACACGAGATGAGATAAATGTGTGTGTGTGTGTGTAACCAATAAATGAAATCATAATCCATTTTTGCAATAAAATATATTTTTCAACCAAAAGATGTCCTGGTCTGAGTGTGATTAGTATTTGAACGCACCCAAGACACAGGAGGGAATTAAAAGAGTGGAGCAATTTTTTAAAAAAAAAACCTTTGTGAATACTCTTCTTTTTTATAGTAGCAGTCAGTCAAACATCAACTTACAAAATTAGTTAATAATATCAGTCCTAATTGGTTTCCATCCGTAAAAACCGCTGACTTAGGTTCAACAGGGGCCGGTTGTCCAGGATCCAGCCGTATCATGTTTCTCACTTCCAAAGTCTCTCTATCTATTTCATAAACTTCAGTCTTTTTCCTGCCTATCCTTAGATATAATTTATTCTGAAACACGACATAAAACATTAATACTCCAAGTTACCGAATACACACATCACTATCAAAACAATAGTCCAATTTACTATACACATATTAGCTGATTACCCACCTTACAATAACCTAGCCAGCCATGGCGATCGCTAGCAAAGAAGTCTGGCTTGTGCAAATAAACATGCTGCCTTATAGAGCTGCCGTACCCTGAACCTATCTTCAACAGGCCTTTGGACGTATATACGTATAGGAAACAGCCATCGGAAACTAAGGAACGGACCACGAGCTCGCCCGAGCCAGTCAGTTGCGCAGGAAGGTCTACTGGGAAGCTATTCACTAGACACTGGTGAGGGACGCCATAGTTTAACCATAGGTTGCGGGACGGAGAACCAAGTATCACCGACTGGACGCTCCGTTGGAGAGTGATTAAGTTTGATGGTATCTGTGAAAAGAAAAAGTCTCTCATGTAAATAAAATCACTGTTTGACTTTTACCACAAAACTCTTTACTTCACCAGAAATTACCTGAAGATCTTGTTCAGAGAGTACAGATGAGGACATAATGAGGGATGCCACAGCGCTCAAGATGAGTTCAGCTTCGCCTCTGGCCACTGAGAGGGCTATGAGACAGGAGCTACTGAGTGCAGTAAGATTTGTTGGTAACTCCACCTTGCCATTTGGCCCACTGCCACTGGCGACCTCCACCAGCATGGAATGAAGGTTGATTATGATCTAGAACAGAAAATATTTAGTGACAGCAGTTTTATTGGATTACAAAACTCTTTCCCAAAACAACCTAAGAATTGAGTAAAGTATTGGTATATAACAATAGCCTGACCTGGCTAGCCTGGCTTGGCATATTGTATGTTATGGCATAGGACGAAAACAAGCAGACGATTCACTTAATGGTAAGTGATGGAAGCCACCCATGGGCAACTGTGCAACATCAGAGGACTGTATTGCCAGTCCAAGACTGATAACACAGACAATTAGCTAAAAGCTACTAATCTACCTATGTGTGTATTACATGTGTAGTGCTGATGCTAAAAATACATACGTCAGTGGGCTCCTGCGACAGTTCTTCCGGCGCATGTCCTTGCAGAACGTCAAGTAAAGCAATAAGAGCATGTTCACAAAATTGGGCATTCGTGAACCGCGCCTGTTCTATCAAGGAGAACACTGATCGAAGCCCTATTCCTGTAATCTATAGAAATAATTTCATTTTATTAAATACTATCGTTGTTGTATTCTTTATACATACATACACAGCTTTCGGAATAGCAACACTAGTTAGTTACCTTCGGTATTTTGTTTGTTTGTGGTGGTGATGCATCCTCGGTGTCACTGTCATCAGACAGCTCAGACACAGTGCCATGAAGATGTCTCCAACGAGCGAGGATGGATTTACGCACATTGGCATACACAGCAAATTGAGATGGATTACCCAAGAGAGCAGGAGCATAACAAACAGCCAAAGCATTGGCTGCTTTTAATCGCCGGAGCTTTTCTTTCTTTCCAATCCTTTTGTGGGATCGCCTTTCCTTCCTATAAAAGTTATTTATTTGCCTAGCTTTAGGTTCATAAAATTCATTAATAATTTAAGACTTAAACTTTGTTCAAATACATCCTTTCATTATTATTCTACATAGACAAAAATATTATGCTGCAGCTGCTCCTGCATTTTAGCACCCTGTTTTACAATTAACATTTTATACAATGCGGAAAATTCTATCTCTTTGCACAATACACATAAAATACTGCATATTGAAGTTGGTAGCTCTACCTGCCTTCCTTCAATATTAGATTTAATACCAAAGTCTGATCTAGTGTCATTGTTTTGAATGAAACAAAGTTACATGATCAATTTTAAAAATGAGTTTGATATTGTGTCTGTGATTTTCTTACCACTTATTAATTTCAACTTGCTATAAATATAATAATACAGTAGTCTGATGATAATTCAATACTTTTATTGAAATGTGTAAAGCTGTACTTTTCTAATAATTTTGTCTGGTACAATCATTAATGACTTACAGTGATAAAAGTTTTATTTTACTGTAATAATTTAATTAAAATAATTATAATAATATTTTGGCCTAGGAAATATCCAATTAATAAATATGAAAGTAAATGAATAATATAAAAGTACTCTTTTATTCATTTATGTAGGAAAGAGTATTTGTCCCAAATGTTACTGGTTGCTAATTGGATTAACAATAAGATGGAAGTAAGATATCAGAAATACACTCCCACACAAAAATATTAACAAAGAAAAGTACACTTCATTACTATGAATATTTTATTAAAAAGTTGTGACTGTATTACCCTATTTACTATTATTATTTTTATTATTTAATGTTTAACAACATGGCGTTAAGTGGAATGTGTATGTACGGTAACAGTAAAATTTGACATTTAATTTCAATCATTATACTCACTTGGTGCCACTCCAACATAGCGCTCGGAAATATTTCTTATAGTTCTCAGGTTCCATACATCTCAACTCCGGCACCTGCATCTTTTGAGCCATGGTGGTAACTGATTACTTCTGCAACGTCAGCATGGAGTATATCTTTTTTAAAAACTGCTACGACTTAAAACATTTATTTATAGAACACAAATTTCACAGTCGCAATTTTAATACACATTGAAGGTTGGCATTTGCAGAGCAAAGTAAATTTAATTTACGTCAAGCAAGCTTCATAGCATAAAATAATTAACTTTTAAATAAGACTCATTAATAAAGAGAATTGATGTGGAAGGTAGAGGAAAGACTAAAACAATGCTTCGTTTAGTTTAATTAACAGGTCTTCTTATTTCTTTCACAGCACTTTAGACATTCAGTATAAATATTTACAAACACTTTTACACATAATATTGGTAGGTGGGTGAGGAAGATTATAAATCAATAATCTTCATTTTGTTTGTAATCAGTTTTTCTCCTCGTAGACCGCGTAAAATTAGGTCAACAGTCGATTTCGCAAAAGCTTTCTTTTAATCATAAAATACACTACAAACTGAGCAGAAATAAAATAATTATAAATATTTTTCGCTGATAGGTTTTCACTATATATATAAACTTTAATAAGTAATGTTACTCTTTCATAAAAAAATATTCAATTTTTATAACATTTTTGTAAATATACCTGACGCACTTGTAACCGCATTGTGATTGTTTCAGACATATTCTTATGGATATATTTTATTACAAATACCGTCCAAATTTAAACCAAGATTGCAATAGGTAATGTCAAAAAATCAATAAACACACGGGCTAGTGATGTGACATAAGTTCTGTATTTCTGATTAAGCGGTAAACAAGTACCAATGACGTCCTGCTAATCATTACGGTTTTTATACTCTTATCGGTTTTCACCAAAAAACAACTTGGATTAATTATAATTTTTTGACATATTTTTTACTGTAAATAATAAACACAAGACAGGTATTTTTTTCTTTGATAGTGAACCGCATCAACACTTCGTTTTTGTATTAAAGTCATTCTGGCTTTCTATCTTTTCCTTTAGGTTTTGTTTCCTGCCCAGATATGTGAATGCGCTTTAATCAATCTGAATCTGATTCAAAAGGATAATCATAGAGATTTTTAAAGGTACTTTTTCTGCGACACTGGCTTGCACGCGTACACTGTGGGAATATCTCTTCCACCACATATCGCAATTAGATGATGGTGCAGTTCTGTCCCTGGCTCGCTGTGGTCTTCGATCTTATGCAGGGATTTTGGAAGGGGATGGGAGGGAAATTATCAAGTGACTTTTACTGATTAAAAACCATCCCGTCCTAACTTCTGCTCTAGGTCTTGTCCCTGGCACCTTATTGCACTTGTACCGCAACCCGGGCTAAACATTGACCTTATTGGGTTCCATTTTACTTACTTGTCTCGATTGTCATTTACTGCGGCGGTTAGGGTGAGAAGAGAATAGCTCAGTCACGCGTTTTGACTCTATCTTTGCGAGAATCACGGCTTCGTAGGAACGGGAGACGACTTTCCCAGTTCTGCACCATAACCTCGACTAAGGCCGGACGCGACAGGTCACCGTCATCGTTCACTTCCTTGAGAACACGACGGTGATCGACACAAGCAGGACATATCACCCCCGGATGCTCCACCATATGCTTCGTAGGTTTCTCTACCGGGTGTTTCCTCCCACCAGGTATGAAATAGGTACCTACCGAAGCTTCCATGTCCGGTAAATACTTGCTTTATGTAAAAGGTGAGGACGCGTTTCTCTAGCCACTCCTTAAAGAGGGGTTTTGTCGCTATTATATATTATATAACAGCGTGCCCGATCATATTCAGCGTTGCATCCTTCAAATCATGATCGCATTGTTAACATAGTGTGTTGTTGGTTTATAGGAACAATAACCCATACTAGAATTTTCTCTAAATGGCCTGAAATCTCTTTGACTTACAAATTTCGGACCAGATGTGTAAGCTTGCACTACTTACAAAAACACGATATGTTGAAAGCAACCAGAATAACTTTTCAAACGACCCCTTTTTGTCAGGGGAAAATCATCAAATGATTTCTGCCGCCCAGGGTAAGGCGAGGGAGAGTGTCAGACTCTTACTGACAACCCGGAACCCCGGCTGAACATCAGCCCTGTAGGGCCCCAGCGGAGGACAAGGTAGTGCTCAGCCCAAGCAAGGCCCACCGCCACCGTATCCTCAGGGTGGTCCTCACATGAACGACATTCGGGCGTTTTCTCCCGTGGGATCCGAAACAGAAACCTACCGAAGCTTTTCAATCGACCCTGGCAGCTCAAGCGGTGCACTCCTACCAATGGAATACCTTATTATGTTTGAGGAGGAAGCCACTGGTAGAAAGGTAATGGGTAGCCAACGCCTCAGATGGAACATTAGTTCGAAAGGAGTAATTTTTTATCAGTAAGAGTATTACATAAATTAATTTTCATATTAAGTAAAGTTACAAAGAAATTATTGTAATATTGGTCATAGCACGCCACGACTACCAATAACGATGTCCACTGTTCCAGATGTTTAGCCGAGATTGAAGAAGTGCAATTATGTACCATGGCCTGGCTGTAACAGATCAGTCCCTTTCGCACCATGCTGTGCACGATAAGACATTGGATAATTTATGCCATTAAAATAAGTAACTCAAACGTCATGGACTTTTTTTGGGTTTAGATAAATAATAAAAATAATGTTTTGTAAAATGTATCGAATCAATTTGAATTTTCTGTAATGGCGCAGCACTATAACGTTATTAGGACGGTGTTTGATCCAAGAAATATTGATTTCAAAAGAAATTTTAATAAGTCGGTACAAATTGATTGCATAGCATATAAAAAATAATGTATTCATTTTTTATTGGTTTATTTTTGATAAACAGGTAATCCGTTATGCATTACCGGTTTTTTGAAGTTTGAACAGCCCTGGCGCGCCATTGTGGTGGTTGGTGTCCCTCAGTTTGTCATTTTCGTACAGCTTGTGTGTTTTTAATAAGAATAAGGACAGTAATGAATATATTTTTTACGAATGTTATACTCAACAAAACAACAGTGACAATAATGCGTGCCGAACCTTTTATACCTGACTAATGAGCAGCTTTGAGTCACCACGGTTAGTTCAAATTGATGGCTGAGGTTATTTGTTGTGACATAGCTAGCTATATAATATCTGCAACAATTTGTCATCATAGTTTAATTAAACTATAAAATAAATGCATCAAAGAAGTGGAGATACAATATTTATTTAGACCCGAATCATTTCGGCCGTATTTCACGACAATTTCAGCATGTTCTGCTATAAATTTACGCGATACAAGCATCGCGACCCTTGGCGTTGCACGTAAGCTTTACAAAGAACGATAGTTTTTTTTTCGTTTGCCAATTTGAATTACTTGTTTTGAGTGGTAGAATTTGTTAATAATTAGTCACAGTATAAGTATTTGTGTTTATTCGTAAATTATTTGTATCAAAAGTGATGCATAGTTTTATTGATGTTGATGCAAGTATGAGAAACCTCAAAGTAATATGATACATCTTGGTGTCATCAATTACTTGTTGAAAGAAACATTCCTAGTAAATACAGCTAGATTAGATAATTAATTTTAATAGGTTTTGTGTCTAGTTGTGTTATTAAATTGTAGATGTGATGGTGTTGCAGTAGTTTAATTCATGCCACTAATTATTGCATGTTTGCTGTTTGTTGATAATTCTTTTGTATGCCCCTAAAATTAATAACAAGTTAAACTTAAAACATCTTTCATTCTACAAGCAGATATTTGCTTCTTTTTTATTTGCAACTTCATACAGGAGACAGTTTTATTATTTTAATTACCAATTTTTTGTTGTGTAGTCTACATTTGCTTAAAACTATATATAAAGTTTTTGTTAATTAACAATGAGAATTCCTTACTTTATAAGAATCCTGTAAGAAATTAATTTGTTAGTGAAGACCTTACTAAACTGCAGTGGTGGTTCTTTACTGTTAATATAAAGTTTGTTACACTTATCATTTTGTACGACCATGAGTCATTGGAGGTCAACTATTTAAATTTATTTAACTGTTATTTTGATAGGCATGTTTGGCCAGCCAATTACACTTTTATAAATATTATAATTGGAAGGAATGTGTAGATTCTTCCTGATAAGTGAGGTTAAAAGGATGCAAGTGCATCCTCATTAATTTAATAATTACATACATTACAAAACACAAGGCAGTATTCAAGTATAAACGAGTATATTAAATACATAATTTCATCAAGTGTGTAAACAAAGCTTTGTTTGAACTACTGAAAATTCATTTTAATGAAAATGCATTTTTGTGCGGAAAAAAGCTCTCCATACCTACAAAAGTTTATCATAATTTATTTCTAATAATGGGATTTATTTTTAAATTATGATTGTCTTTGTTACTTTTAGTTCTAAGGTAGTCACTACTCATGTGTTTTCCATATGTACTTGAAGGCAATAGTAACGGACATGTGCTTTGCTTTAAAAAAACAAATTAACACAGCTATGGTAACAATAAAAAATTTGCACTCAGTATGTGTAGCTAAATGGAGAATTTTATAATCAACTCTTGATGTATATTAGATGACCATATCAGTGTTATGTTAATGCTTGCAAATAATATGCCTTGTTACTATCAATAGCATTAAAATTATCATCTTGATAGCCAAGTTTCCTCTGCTTGTACACAATGCAAGGATAATATGTTGTCGTTCAAGACATCAAAGTCATGTTTTATCAAAGTCAATATAACAAAAATCAGGAGGCGTATCCTGTTGAAGAAATATTTGATATAAATTAAATCTCAGTTATATTTCTTTTAGTGTCAAATTATGTATGGTCTGTTGATTTTATTTAATAAAACTTCTGTAACATTTTTTTTATTTAACAGGCATCTTCAGAGTGGTCATTGAATAGGGGTAGCGATGGAGGCTGGGGCGCGCGCTCTGGACGTGCTCCCGCTACTCCAGGAGCGGGTGGCGGCCCTGACAGGAGGTCGCGACCGCCGCGGTGGCCCTATCATATGGTTCCCAGCAAACTCCCGGCGAGACAGAGTCGCGCCAGATGACTATAGGCGTTTGCTGCATTATTTAATCAGTATACCTAGGTCAGTTCTACTTTTGCTTTATTATTTATATGAAGTTGTATCTATTTATACTTCCATGTAATGAAATTAGTAGTGATGTTCAACACGAAGGGACAAGACAGTTGATATAAGTATATAATTATGTTTATTTATAATTAAGTTTATTTTTCTTTTATTTTATAACACTTGATTAAACTGAACGTTGATCAGGTGGATAATAAGCCCTCCCTATTTATAACAAACTGTTATTCCGTTGACCTGTAACAAACTAATAGTATAAATATTATACATAAAATAATATTAAAGTATACCATTTACTTGGTTAATAATAGAATTGAAACATGGGAGGGTGATGAAATCTTGGATTTCCTAACACTAAACATTATCTAGTATTTTACAATTAAAAAGGTTAATTTAAAAATAAAAAACCTTTATTCATTTACTAGTATCAATGGTACATTTGACACCAAAATGTCGCTATGCATGGCATATAAAGGGTAATTCTTCAGACATCAACATGTTCCTTGAACAATAGGTTTTCTCAACACACTTCATAGTAATTGCTTATGCTGTATACAATATGTAGCTTGCTGTGGTTACTAAACTTTCCATAGAATTGACTTGATTATCTTTATTCTGTACACTATTCTCTGAACAGATGAATTTCATTGTTACTTTTTAATGTGTCCCATTATTATTAATCATTGTAATCTATACACAATCTTTATTAATTTGTTCCTATATTATTTTAGTGATTCGGTGAGATCACATGGATTCACTATATTGATTGATATGAGAGGTTCAGCATGGGCAGCAATAAAACCTATCTTAAAAGTTCTGCAAGAACACTTCCCTTCATCCGTCCATCAGGCACTGGTAGTTAAACCTGACAATTTTTGGCAAAAGCAACGCACAACCATAGGAGCACATAAGTACAAGTTTGAGGTAAGAATTATTTGTAAACATTTCTTGTTCTTAAATAAGTGTATTTATGTACATAATATGGATGTTTATTAAATTGTTAATTAATTTCCAGACAACAATGATTAGCTTAGAAGCACTGCCTAAAGTGATAGATAGTTCGCAACTTACGCCAGATTTAGACGGTACTCTGCAATATGATCACGCGCAATGGATAGATCTCAGATTGGTGAGTACAGTCATACATCGTAAGTATACATTTTTCAATTACAGGAATTCGTTGTTGGATATAGTGAGTAATGTTATCGTGCTTCCCATATTGCCCACACCTTTCCGTATGCGCCATACGTGCCGCATACTCAGACGCTCATGACGTCATCGTTATCGCGTTAGTGAAACTGTTTTGGTGCGCGTGTATAAATATACAAATCGTAATTATGTTTCTTCTAAGTGAAGAACACAACCTGGAAAATAAGAATTACTTGTAACAGCATGTACAGACATTAGCGGCGTTGTAAAACGAATGCGCTAACAGTCGTAATGATAGTAACTATAAACATGTAATGTTCGTAGAAAGGTGAAGACTAGCGAATTGTTGCTGGTATCCACAGTCGCCACCACTCCACGCAGCAGAGCAAGCGGGAGGTGTTATGCCCCGCTGTCTGTTGTTATTTACCCCTATTCAATCAGTGAAGAAGTCACACCTAATAATTTAACGTCTGTGGCGCACCTTTACTTTGTTATTGTGAACTCTTAAATGTGTCATTGTATTTTTAGTGTAGTTTACGTGGTATTTATTTATAGGCTTTGGAGGAGCTGATGTGGCAAGCTGGTGAGCTGCTGGACAGGCTAGATGACCTGCAGGAGGATGTTGCCAGGGCAGATTTCGCCGATGATGTCACGGGCGCAAGAAGAGCTATCGACGCGCACGCTGATATTAGCAAACGACTCGCCAAGGTCCCCGTCGACGAACTAGAGGGTCAAGGTACTTCCCCACTTTTAAAAACTTTATATTGGTAAAAGTTTTACAGCAGTTATTACAGTAATTTCTTCTGAATCGTCAAAACTGGCTATAAATGTCCTATTACTAACCAATTAATGGTTTACAAATACAATGTAGTTGGAATAAGAAAATATAAGACAGTTAAATAGTTAACGATTTGTGCGTTAATAACCATCACTCGCATAATTAAGTATAAGTATCCATATACGATTAAAGCATGCACATAATGAAGTGCATTAGAAAACGTAAATTGCGGAATTGGTTGTCTATTTATTTTTGATTCATATAACGTTATGTGTTACGGTTGAACGGAGGGCAGGCAGGCGAGGTGGTCAAGCCGTTGTTGTATAACCGCAGGTTTCAGTGCGGATTGTATGCGCACGCGCCACTCGCTGTAGCATAACGCTGAAGGGTGTCGTGTTATGTACTTGACGTGCCAGTGATGTGTTTCGATTGTTTGTGGTGCACTGAACAGACCGGTATGAAATTTTGTACTAGGCTGAGCAGTTATACTGTGTTGAATAGTTTTTCTGTTACACCGCACTTTCTAGTTTCGACAAGATTCAGCATAATGGTGATTGGTGCACGATCTATTATCATGACACACTATTCAGTTTGACGATCTAGACCGCTACAAAAGATTACAGATTCACAGCATTCTTTGTGCGCAATTTCATACTGCGACGGATCGTTGCTCAAACTGTCGTGCTGAAATTGTAACAATAAAATGTTCTCATTTGCATAAATAATGAGCTTCACGAATTTCTAACATTTGCTCTATGTGATGTCTGTTATTACTGCAAGGCTAATTAATGAACATCTTATTATTTTAAATTCAAGATTTCTGTAATTGTATTGTCAGTAATGTTACTTTATTTGTTGATTTCGTGTGCAGTAAAAATTGCAAAATCCACCGTAATGTCTTGCTGCTTCATTAACTCGAGTTTAAACACAATATTTCGCTTGGTAAGGCGCCATAAATGTACACTGAAATATGTAATAGTTACGGTTAATAAGAGTTAACTGTTACAGCAATTGCGTTATTTGGACAGAACGGATAAAAAGAATCTGAATCGACAAGAACTCGATTATTATCACGTTGTATTGACCCATTTTTATGATCGAGGTGCTCGATTTTCCACTTCCTCTAGCATATCCTGATATTATTAAATGCGATGAGACTACATGTGAAATAATATTTTAAATACCTATATAAAGTATCCCCTAACGCAAGAAGCCAACCCACCTGGATTGGCTTCGAAGAGCAGAAGGAACGAGTTTTACGATGGTTTTTATTCAGTAAGAGTCTGGTACTCCCTTTCGCTGCTCATACGGCGAGAGAAGATATTTAATGATCTTCCCGCCTCAAAAAGCCCTTCTATGCATATCGGACCTTCCATATTATATTGTGAACTACCTTAAAACATTTGACGTGTACTTACTAGAAAATGGTCGACCTAGTAGTTTCTATTTGATCTATTTGATAGAGAGAACGAGACATGTTTGTGTCAAGTAAATATTAAGTGAAACGTGATGTGACGACGACGGTACAAGAATCGTTCGAATTGAAGTACGTACATACTTTGAACAGTTTATTGGTTTTCCGTTTGTCGGTGTTATTAGAAACTACAGTAGATATCGGCTTGGTATTAGAAGTCATTATGTTTGTTACGTCTTTACCTATACGGCTTGACTTCTCCGCTATTTACTTGTTAATATGCGTCCAGAACGTGGCTTTGGTAGAATGATGAATTGAGGGAATATATGAATGTACCAACAGAGCGTACGTTCAACGGCCGTTTCTTTGTGTATGGTAGAACGGCAAACGAGCAGCAGGATTATCTGATGGTAAGCAATCGGCGCTGCCCATGGACATCCACAACACTAAGAGGGCTGACACAGAGTGAATGCGTTGCCGGCCTTTTGAGTTAGGAGATGATTGGAGACGATGGGGGACCTAAGAAGAATTGGACCCATGATAATCTAAATCACACGGCGAAACACAACGCTGTTGTTGTTGCACGCCGGATTTCTGTAAGGCTGTGGTATCACTCTGTTCGAGCTGACCCATTCGTGCCGAAGCATGGCTCCCCACACTTGAATGCGTTATATTAAGCATGTTACACAACAACCACAAAAAAGTTGAAATATAACAATAATATTTTTATACTAGGTAAATAATATTGACCTTAGCATTGAAACATATATTTGGTTAGGCGAGCGAGTGCTGCAGCGTTTGGAGGCAGCGGAAGCGGTGTGCTCTGAGGCGAGCGGTAGCGGTGGCGAGGCCGCGTTCCACTGCGGCTCGCCCGGGGCCGTGCGCGCGCAACTCTCCGCCGTACGGTCGGCGCACGCGCACGCCCACAAACTCTGGCAGCACAAGAAGATGCAACTCGACCAGTGCTTCCAACTACGCCTCTTCGAACAGGATTGTGAGAAGGTCGGTGTCATAGCAAAATAAAACTAAGAAATCTTGCTGTTAGCTCTGTTAATGCAAAGGTATTCAGTGCCGAAAATTTTCGAAATCCGTAAAAATATGCTTTTATTTTCATCATCATCATCATCATTTTAATATGAAAATAAACGTATAATAAACATGAAAATACTTTTGTGTGTTTGTTTATGACAAGCTAATCCTTTACCTACTTTTCATACAAATGTAATTAATTTTGTAAACATTAAAAGTTATGCACTAACATACATCTTAATGGGCACAGCATACAAGTGAGTGAATGAAGCATCATAATACATAATACCAAAAATTAACATCGCAGATGTTGGAATGGATCGTGAATCACCGCACCGCATTCTTGGCGACTTACGTGGAGATAGGTCGGTCGTGCGCCGCTGCTAAACGGTTGCAGGAGGAACATGCCAGGTAACTTTGTTTTTTATTCAAAATCTTTATTTGTACTTATCCCATTTTCTAGTCAATTACCGTTTATAGTACCTACTGTACTTTTGAATACAATTATATTCTGTACATTACTAAAACTATACCTTATTGTTTAAGACCGCATTATTGTGTCCGATTTATAGCACTTCCAATAAGTTAAACAGGATAATATTGACAAAATATTCAAAGACAGTTGCTAATAAAAATTGTACAGTTGATAGATTATTGTTAGTCTTTCATTGCCAAAAAAAATGTTGAATGCTAATCCTCTGCTAGCGCCTGACACTATTTTCCGACAGGGCGTTCTAAGTCCTAATAGGGAGTAGTTGTCCCGTTAGTTTCAGTAATGGAGTTGTCGTGGCTGGTATGACCAATGAGTGGTAATTTTTTTTTTAAATCATTATATTACTTCTACCGCGGCGGGAAGGAGTGTCAAACTCTGACTAAATACACCCCGTTCCTTCTCCTGCTCTGGGCCGAGGCCGCAGTGCCTCATTGCGCTTTCCCTACAACCCTGGCTGAACATCAGCCCTGCAGGGCCCTGTCTGTGGTGGTCTATAGGTTCGTTATAGGCGTATGATGATGATGGTATTATAAATTTGTTGAACAGGTTTGCAGCAGCGTGTACAGGCGGAGGTCGGCCTAGTGTCGCCCGGGTGACGACGGCAGCTCGCCGTCTTGCCGACAAGCGACACTACGCCGAGTCTGAGATCTCTGCGCTCGCGCACCGACTCGAACGGGCTTACAAACAATTGTCGGCTGGTGAGTGTGTCATTATTACATTTTTCATATCATGACTTAAGAATACCTACTGACGATTCTTAAAAGAGCTAATTTTAAATAATGTCATTTCATTGTTACAATTTTCCTCTTGTAATTTTTAATTGCTTTCCGACCGATCACATTACCTATTTCAATAAGACAAAACTTTTATAGCAGTTTCTAAAATCTATGTATATGTATCTATGTAATGTTCTATTCTCTGACTACGTTAATATCTGGCGTACTCTTTTTGATTGTTGTATCTTTGTATTCTGTAGGTTTGGAAGAGCGGTCCGCGGTGCTATCGTTGTCAGTGGTGTTTCACCATAAAGCCGAGGCGTATGTATCAGCGGTTGGTGGTTGGGGAGCGCAGTGCGCGGTCGCCCTGCAGCTGGCTACGGGCCAGGGCGGAGCGCCTTGCAACGACCCACGAGCGCTAGAACAACACGCGCAAAGACATCGCCAGCTCTACGAACACATGTGCCAAGCCTATACTGAGGTAAGATGTGCCTTAAAATAGTAAAGTTTAGAAGAATATATGAAATAAAAACTAGGATGTAACTTAATCTCGACCTTGCAAGACATTCGATCTTTTTATATAATCCACTTCTACTTTGCACAGTTTCTATTTTCGTATACAAAGCCAGCAGACAAATTTATAGGCAATGCTAAAACGGATGGATATAATTTTGTTTCAGGTCCATTCTACAAGTAAGAAGTTGTTGTATCAGCTAGATCATCTCGTCCAAGTGTGCCATCAAACCGATCCTGCTGACATGGTGAGTACGCCTTTTGAAAGTAATCCCTCAGACGTAGAAATACACCTAATGACACATGAACCCACTTTTGACCAATTATGAAACGATTCTTTTGTGATAGAGCATAGATTTATCACGTAATATTGAATACAGGGCATAATTACCACCACCGTCATATGAATTCTGCTGATTTTAAACCTAAAATCTCGTTAATTCTTTGCCTGATTCCTCACATCTCACAGTCCTCTGTTCACCTATTTTTCCAATTATAGAGTAGACGAAATTAAAGCTTTTGTAACAGATATTAATTGCGTATATCATTCGTTATTTGCAGAATGACGGCACAGTGAGCAGTGCGGGGAGCAGTGGCGGCGACCCGGCCGCGGACTACAGCTCCGGCGCGAATCATGTGTTGGCCGTCATACACCAAATACTGGGGCACCACAGGGCGCTGGAGGCGAGGTACCACCAAGCCAGGCTCAAGCTACACCAGAGGCTTGCCTTGCTTTTGTATAAAGAAGATTGTAGGCAGGTAAGTGACAGATTACTGAGGCAAAGTTTATTAATATTTTTTTTCCAAAACATATAGTGTATACGTAAACTGTAAGTGTATGTTTCTAAATGTAACTACGGCACAGGAGAAAAATCTTATAAAAAAGAAACAAAAATACAATAGTACGATGTCAAAAAATGATCTATTCTGGTATGTTTGGACAAGTCCATCTCCATACGGTAATGCAATACATGAAAGAATCCAATTCGTCCCTACCCTCCCATTCCTCACCAATCCCTACATCTCCGAAATCCTACTCCCGAAAAATCCGGTAAAGCAATCTTGACTCCACTGGTATTGCAGTTGTCTAGGGGCGGCCCCGATTGCTTACTATCAATTAATCAATCCGTCGACTCATTTACCAACCTATTACATAATAAAAGAAACTGAAAGCTACGTATTTCTAGTTTAGAACCACCATAAAGGAGATGATCAAAAGTCTCATTTACTTCAATAGAGGCCCAATACTGTTTTTAGTCATCCAAGTACTTACCTTGTGTTATACCAGGTTTTAGTGGCGCGCGAACTATAATTGGCTAGTTTCCTAGGTCAATTTAAATTAATTCGACGTTTCAATAGAATAAAATATTGAAAAATAACTATACTTTTATTCATCGATCGATCAATACACTAAGTTTTAGATATTTTGTAGCTCTCTAATTATTAAGAAATAAGTAAGCAATTTGACGCAAAAATATTATGACGTCATAATTTTTAGTTTCATACAAATTTCATAGAAATGTATCGTTTTTGACATTTGCATAAAAGTATTGAATTTGACTAGTTGGAAACTACCTTATTGTCTGTTATTTCATGTTTGTTGCATTGTTACAGGTGCTCGATTGGCTGGCAAATCACGGTGAAGTGTTCTTACAGAAGAACACTGGAATAGGAAGGAATCTCCATAAAGCTAGGGTATATCAGAAATCTCATGAACATTTTGAAAATGTGGCACAAGTAAGTTGGTTTCTATTCTTATAAAAATTCTCGTCCAAGGAAGTAATTACATACTTTTGTATATTCAAAAAGTAAAGTTCATAAAGTTAACAAAACTTGGTAGTGTTATGCATAATGTTTGTTGGACTCAAAGCTCCATGCAATAGGTTATGCAAGGTACGACAACTCTGCCAGTCTGTTATATATATAAAAGAGGAATTTGGCATAACATTCTGTTGACATAATCCTACTTGGCAAATGGGTAAGATATCCTAGATATAAGGATAAGTTTATCAGAGAACTCTGCTGTATGGGGTAAATATGTTGTGCCTTAATCGTCTTTCCTTCAAAGGGTAGGGCGGTAGACAAATATATCCTGCTCTGAAGTCACGACACGGCGGTTTAATATTTAATTATTAATATAAAACTTAACGCGACTCTGCGATATGTCTCTCCTGCAATGTGGGACGGGCCGCTTGTATTCGCTAATTTACATAATTTTACCCAACAGAACACGTACACGAACGCGGAGAAGTTACTGGCGGGCGCTGAAGAGTTGGCGCGGTCCGGTGAGTGTGATCCTGAGGAGGTGCTGGGCGTGGCGCGCGAACTCGAAGCTCATGTCGCCGCCTTCGCGGCCCGCGTCGACAGGAGGCGGAGGCGACTCGACCTCGCCGTTCTACTGTATACACATGAAAAAGAGGTAACTCACGTTTCATAATTTAATACTAAATACACGCCATTGTTTGTAAGTATTAGTGGAAATAACTACTTATGGGATTTGTATGAAGTTTGGTACAGAGATAGATCATAGTCTAAAAAACAAATTAGGTAATTGGGTAATTTCCTAGGTCAAAAATAAATTAATTAGACGTTTCAATACAATGAAATATCGAAATAACTATGCTTTTATTCATCGATCGATACACAAAATTTTAGATATATTAAAGCTAATTTTTAAGAAATACGTATGTACGCTATACTACACTACTAATAATAGTACGCTTTTTGACGCAAAAATACTAAGACGTCATAACTCAGTTTTTCATACATATTTCATGGAAAAATATCGTTTTTGACATTTGGATAAAAATATAGAATTTGACTAGTTGGAAACTACCGTATTGATATCCCCGAAACACGGTCAATACCACCTGAAGAAGCCAGTAGTGAATGTCTTAAAACTAAAGCCAACGTAACTATAGTATCCCTTTTATTTTAAGAGGTTTTGTCCAAATAAGATTGGTTGTCACATTATAGTCTCTTTTATGAGTTCATATAATCTTAGAATAGATACACACACATAAATTGAAAGATTCTATAAGATGTCCCTTAACACTTACACATAACATCCAACAACCGAATTGTCATAATCAGAAAAAGACAAAAATTAGCCTATAAGCCTATAATTGAAAAATTAAAAATAAATACCCACAGCTGAGCAAATGTCTCTTTTACGCGGAAAAGGTTAAAGCATTAATTACCACGCTTGTCAAGGTTTTCTCACGATGTTCATTGATTGTCATTAGTTTCTAAATATCAGAAGAAAGTACATAATTATAATAAACAGAAAATAAAATATTTGCCTAGCGCTTTATCCTGTAGAAGCAGAAATAAAATATGATGCAATTCTTTAAGTCACGATGCTATAACAGCAACGAAGCACTCAGATAGCCAAGTTTATATTAGCATAACGCAAAAGCGGGTCGATCCCACAATCATTGACGTGGTCACGATCTCCCCAGTTTATGTACGAAATCTCTACAAGATTCCGATGTTGAATCTACTGATGGACTAAAGATGAACTAGACAATCCTTCAATATGTTCTCAGTCTTAAAAAGTTGATTTTGTTTCAAGAGGAAGACAACGTGCTCTATAACGAAAGATGGTTAAAGTGGTTTCTAAGCCAAGCATAGGTTTTAGTTTGTTCAGTAAAATTGGAGAAAGTATCTCGTCTATTTTAAAATATATACATAGAATCTTGAATTATATAAAAGACTAGCTACTCTCGCGCGATTTCACGTGCTGCTCGGCTCCATTTAATCGTAGCGTGATGTTTTAAAACCTATAGCACTCAGGAACCTTGTATTAATCTATCAGTGAAAGAATTTTGGCAATCTGACTAGCGGTTCTAAAGATTACCCCCTACATATAACCTTACAAATTTTACCTCTTTATAATATTAGTATAGAAAATATCAATATGTATATAAAACATTTGGTGGCCCAGAGGTTAAGCAGCCTGCTTCTCATGCATGAGAGTGTGGGTTCGAAACCTGGCAAGTACCAATGTGACTTTTTCCGAGTTATATGTACTTTCTATGATTATTTAGACACCACTGACATACGGTGAAGGTAAACATCGTGAGGAAACCTAGACTTATAATTTCTAATCATAAGTTTGAAATCGCCAACCCGCATTGAGCAAGCGTGGTGATTAATGCTCTAACCTTCTCCGTATGAGAAGAGGCCTTTGCTCAGCAGTGGGCACTTATAGGCTGATGATGATAATATAAAACATTTTGTGCAGGTAGACAAGCCTTAGAGTTGAAATCCAAACTAATATTATTAATGCGAAAGTTACTTTGTCAGTCTTTTCTTCATGTCTACACTACTGAACCTATTTGTGTGAAATTTGGAAAAGATATAGGATAGTTTTTAAAGGAAAAAACAAATTTCTTCATGTAATAGAAAAAATGGACTACTAAAACAATCATAGTTGAGTTAATAGTTACATATAATTTGGCAAAATACTTGTTTAGTTCAACCAGTAAATAATTGCCAAGTTATAAGCATTGAACCTTACCACCTGACAATTTGGCCTTAAGTTTAGACTTTCACTACAGTTGTATGCTTAACCACTATCCAAGAATCTAAATTAGTAACATTGATTTCATTTTGTCTAAATATATACGAATACTAACATTTGCGTAAAACACAATCGACTTGTGTCTTAAATGATGACACAAATTCGGCGAAATAACTAGAGAATTAAGCACACACCAGTGTGTGCGCATTCCTTCCTTCTCCATCCCAATCCCTCATCAATCCCTAATCTCCAAATCCCTAATCCCTATAATATTGCTTACCATTACCATCAGGTAATCCGTCTGCTCGTTTGTCGAACTATAACATAAAAAAATTCACACATTCATCTTACAAAGTGTGGAAGAGCTATGCTTCGGCACGAATGGGTCGGCTCGGCCGGAGTGACAGCACGGCTCTCATTGGCGTGAAACAACCACAGCGTTGTGTTTCGCCTTGTGAGTGGGGTTACAAGGCCCTATACTTCCCTTCCCTAAAGTTGGCAACGCACTTGCAACTTCTTCGTTGTTTCGGGTGTCCATGGGCGACGCTGCTTACCTCCAAGTAGTCTGTATGCTCGTTTGCCGACCTTTTAACATAAAAAATAACAGTCTCAGACTTGAATTATAGCTGTTTAACAACATGTAGTGCAAAAACTGATTGTGATATTTGTATTAGCTGCTGCAATGGCTAGAAACGTTGCGGAGTGGCGGCGGCGTTTGCGCATCGGACGATACGCCGGAGGCTGCGAGACGTGCGCTAGACCAATGCGCACAACACCGCGGGGCGAGCCTTGACGCTTGCGCGGCCACCATCGCACAGGGAGAGGCATTGCTGCAGGATCTACGGTGAGTCTCCTTGCAAAAATGCGAAAGATTTCTTTATACTAGTAACGTCATCTTGAAGTCAAGACGTCCACGGTTTTTATGATATTAAATACTAGTTTTCCGCTGGCTGTTCAACTGCAGTAAGTTCCGAATCAGGTCAGGATAAAAAGTATATTTATAAAAATTCCTACCATCCTTTTTGTACTTAGGTAAAGCGCATTTCAATGTGTTCAAAGTAAGAGTAGGCTTAGAGCGCGAACGCCGTTTTAAATATGCATTTATTCTAAACCATAGAATGTAATAATACAACAGAAATGTAATCTATATTGATGATTGGAGAGAAAACTTAATAAATTTTCTCTTTTGTTTTTAATGCCCAAGGCTGTTGACCTCAAACAAATCATTTTACATTTTTGACAGCAGCAATTATTGAATAAATGTGTCTTTATTGATGCCGCCTTACAGAGAACAAGAACGGTCTTTCACCATTTTTTGTTAAACTTCTTTCAGCGGCATCGTATGTCCACGGTTATGGATTGCAAAACCATTCTAAAAACGAAACAATGAGGATTAAAAATCTTAAATCTATTCGTTCAGTTTTGGTCCCTCAGAACTTAAAAGTTTAAGATATCTAAGATTAAAATCAAAAAAGGAAACAACTCTACAATTCCTTAACGATAGACAATCATTTACGCCACATCATCATATCTGTAATGTAAAAATGTTATGCAAAGCTTTCCTACTCGAAAATGTTATATAACAGACAAACTATGTCATCCTATGTATGACAATGCATCGAGTTTAGCATTGTACTAAGTTGTACTGTCTTTCTTTCTCTCTATACGTTATATGTACGTATATAAGACTTTCCAGTTTTGTTTTAACTTTGAAACATCGAGTGCACACTAAGCCAGTGCACTGTAATGAAAAGTCAACTAGCGCAGTACGGAAAAGAAAAATTCTATTAAACATTGACGATGCTTTTACATTGTATCCGTTGTTTTAACGATGTAGATTCGTAGTCGTCTAAATAGATTTATTTGTTCATTAGGCTTTATATTTTTTTTTTATTATATGTATCTCAAATAATTACCTATTTATTGTTAACTTAAAACTTTTACACTTTTGGGTTACGAAAAGTGTGTTCTTTATTCCGTATAAATGAGTCGATGGTCGGGTGTATGTTCTACGAATTATAAAGCTGAAGACAATTTTTGTTTGAATTAAATCTTTAACCGACTTTATGTTCAGAAATACTTGATCGAATTTATTAATTCCTTTATGTGTTGGATAGTTCGTTTATCATCAATTACCACGCTACGACCAATAAGAGCTAAGCAGCGATTGAAACCGCGCGGGAGTAGCTAGCGTTAATATATTGTGAGAAAGAGTAAGAACACCCCCTCGAGGGCCGCCATTCAAATTGCGTACAACAACTAGGCTCTACCTATAAAGTTAGATTTGAAACAAAGCTTAACAATCACAGGGAAATGTAGATAACCCGGTCACATTGTAGGACATTGTGACTCGCTACACAGATGACACTAGGATATTATTTCAAGAACAAATCAACACAAAAATACTTTCCTCATTTCCCACTCTTTCGCATAGTGCACATATTAACCGAATCAAACTCTCTTATTTTTTAAAGCACACTCATTCAGCATTCAATCTAAACCTTCCATTATGAGTTGTGAGCAAACCAATAATGAAGAGGTTTATACTTAGTCGGGTCATAAGTTCTGTCACAAACTTTTGATGTAATAACTTATACGCCTTTTGACAATTATTTAAAAATTATATATGAAATGAAAGGTCATTAAATGTACAATATAATTTTATTTACATTATTCGAAATGCCCTCCCCCATTTTGAACACATGCCCTTAATCTACGCGGCCAGTCATCGATCGCTGCACGCACCACATTCATATCTATGTCTGCCGCTGCTTTAACCAGAGATGCTCGGAGAGACTCCAAATTCGGGTGAGGTTTAGCACAGACTTTTTCCTCCAAATATTGCCATATCTTGTAGTCCAGTGGGTTTAAATCTGGACTAGAAGAGGGCCAGTCTTCATGCCGGATGAAGTCAATTCCACGAGCGATCAACCAGTCTTGCGTACTTCGTGCCTTATGAGCCGGTGCAGAGTCCTGTTGGAATATCCAATGCCTGTTCCTGAACATTGTCTGAGAAAGAGGTTCCACTATGTTTGTTAGGACAGTATTTTGATAAACTTCGGCACTAGTTCTCACACCTTTTTCACAGAAAAAACACCTCAGTTACGCCTGAATATGAGACTCCAAGCCAAACCATGAATGAGGAAGGGTAATGCCCACGCTGGACCCTCGCAATACGCGCGCTTGCTTCTTCACTGCTGTGGGCATACACCTTATCATTTTGTTTGTTAAAACTTTCTTCAATAGTAAAATTTTTTCATCCGAAAAAAGAATTTCGCGGTATTTTTTTCCCGCGTACCGTCGTAGCAAAGCGCGGGATCTGTCTAGCCTAATTTTTTTTAAACGCTCGTTCAAAAAATGTCCTGTCTTTTTACGATAAGCTCGTAGTCCCAGGTCTTCATTTAGTACTCTTTTAACAGTGGTTCTGCTTAGCCCCATCTGCAGAGCTAGGATTTTTTGTTTACGTACGGGATTTCGTTCGATTCGCGCCTTCACTGCTTTGATGACCTTATGTGTCCGAACTGTGCGAGGTCGGCCGCTTCTCTTACGATCTTCGAAGCTTGACTCTTCGGTGTATCGTTTGATAGTACGATAAACAAACCGTAACGTTATTTTCAAATTTTGAAGAATATTGAAAATGTCTTTTGGCGCGTAACCACAGCGGTGCAACGCGATAACCGCGATTCTGTCTTCTTTATTCGACCACTCCATATTTAAAAATGAATAAAAAATAATTTCTTTTTTATTTTCTACAAGCGCGAAAGTTCTATTTTTAAAATAAGTCGAAGAATTTCTGGCCAGTAATCGAAAATTAAAAATATAAGGTTTTGACAGAACTTATGACCCGACTAAGTATTTATCTGTTTTTCGGAAACAAGTATTGATGTCGATTGAATAAACATCCCTGGGCCGTCGAAACTATAAAAATGCATTAAAGACAAAAAGGCAAAGTGTAACAGTAACACGGAGTTTGTAGGTGTCGTATATGTATGTATGTCGTAGGTGTGTATCGCCGTTGGCAGCACTCGTTCAAGTTAAACTTCTGCTTGACAGTGGACAACTCGGACCGAAGCCCGTACGATTTTCCGCAGCAAACTTCCATTCACTATTCTGTGCAAAGTTACGTGTGTCTCGAAGCCATGTATCTGTTGAAGAGATAATAGTTTCCTAGTGGCGTGTGCCCTATTCAGACCTACTGTGGTGCTTACTTTGAATGCGACTTGTTGAAGATTTGTTCCCGTTCATCCGTGTCGCGTTTTAACGACCTCATTTCGAATGGGAAATAAATTAAAATGAACAATAAATTCGAATACTTACATAGTTCCATCTATACCGTAACCATAACTCATGTCACTATGAAATATTAGCGTATCAGCAATATTGGTAAGTTACTCGGATGATATTTCAGTCTCATTACTTATGTGAAGCGATTGTTTTGCACTTGTGGCAAAATATTAATTAGGAATGTTTTATACCTTCACAAATAGAAAATTACTGCATAAATAAGTCGCTAAAAAAAACGAATGTCTATTTATTCTTGTGACATCGTGGCTGTTAACGTTTTAACGTTCGTGAGCATACAAATACCTGTGAGCGCACGACCTGGAAGCGGCAGTCGCGAATAATAAAATACGTATCCCGCCTCTTATGGCCCAAGGTACAGATCTGCGACAAAGAGGCGCCGCAGCGATGTACTAAGGATGTCGGTTCCTGCAAGACTTCTATAGACATCTTGTAACCTAAATTAGGATTTATGATACGGTAATCATGTTCTCAATAGAAAATTTCACCAGTTTAGAACTTTTCACCCTTTTTATACATATTTTGTCAGTATCAGTTATCACAAAGCAAATGGTTGCTAAGCTTTTCCAAAAGAGGTTTAACTAATATTATTAAAACCCCGCTGTCCTGACCTGTCTATCGATGGCAGGCTGTATCTTAGGAACTGTGAAATCAGGACTTGAAATTTTCACAGATGAATTATTTCTGTTCCCGCTACGTCATCATACGTGCATTCGCGAGTCTGGAAAATGGTAAAGAATCTTTCGTGAGCGGGTCCTATTCGCACTTGACCGGTTTATTTTTTCTCGCAACAAACCTATCGACCTTCCCAATTTGTTGTACACAAACCGTTTTAGATTTCTAGCCTTCGCTGTATCCCCCTTTTTATCTTCATAAAAAATGTCTCACAATGTTCGCATAAAAGTCCTGGATTTTTCGATATTAAAATTCGTACACAATAGCCATACTGGTCCTATCGCCGTGGGGACGTTACACAACGGTATGCGACCCAATTTCTTAGACGAACGCGCGTTGCCGAAGCGTTACTCTGTTTTCAGTGAAAATTCAAGAGTGGACGGACACGCGATGCAGATATGTGGCTCGAACAATGTATTATTTATCAAAGCATGTTACCGGATGAGATTGACGGCTGTCCGTGCGTAATTATTGTCTAGCTCCGCGGAGATCGTTTGCTTATAGCCAGCCATCACACGGTACGAGAATGTGACGTTAATGGATAATTATTTTTGTACAAACTCACGTATGATGACAGAGAAACTGTGATATTTTTCTCTCCTGTTGCGAGTATTCATGTATTGATGGTTTGTTAACACGATTCTTTGAGCTGTACGAACAAAAACTCTGTGTATGAAAGCCGGTTGCCCTTTTGTGTGGTCTGTCACGCAGCCCAGAGCTACGGTGTACATTGTGAAAACATGACAGGATGCGGTTGTCCTGACGTGATACCTATTTGTTACGTTATTCCCAAATACGTTATGTAGGTATAACGTATTTGGGAATAACGTAACGTAATTATTACAATGAAATATATCGACGTCCTTT